ATTACAGGCATGAGCCACTGCGCCCGGCCTATTGGGGAGTTTTTTGGTTTCAAAACAGGTGGAAGGAGACATGCCCTTCCTCAAGATCTGTCACCACGATGTGGTGTCTAAGAAAGCTGTGACTGCAGCTTCAAGAGGAACAGTCTTCTGAAGCCTGACTTGTAGCTAGTTGTCACTATTGCGGTCATCTGGTCTCCCATGTAAACTTCGGGGCAGCCAGGGAGAACCAAGGCCTCAGTGCATTAGCCATTTGGTTTCCCTTACAGATAAACCAGATAACCATTCCCTACATCAGTGATTGTCAAATGTACAAATATGTCCCTGTAAATGCGATTTAAACATGTCACTACTGCTGTAGGAGAGTGTGGGATCCCCAAAGGATATTATATCTTATAAGCAAAAAAACAATAATATGTTTTTTAGCTTTAAAACAATTTTTTTTTTCTTTTTCACTCAAATGCCCACTTGCTGGGCAAAAGGGTGAGTAGCAAAAAAAAAAAAAAAGTAGTGAAATGCAGCTTCCCCCAAGTGGTTCTTTTATACTGTGGGTGACACATGACTCTGTTACCTAAGATGTGATGAGCTGGGCTGCAGGCAGTTCAGCATCTAGCAACTAGGAGCTTATTTTATACACACAAAGCTGCCTTCAGCAAGGCGCCTTCCTGCCCCGCAGCAGGTGATCTTCTTATGGCTGCTTCTAGCATGCTGTACTGTAATGATTCTGTTCCTGTGATGTGGGTTTCTCTCTGCATCTCAATATATTGTCTTGATGATCAGACAATGTTTTTATTTAGTTATTTATTCTGTCCATGTAAGACATTTTTAAGTCTGCATATCACCGTTTGCATGTATTTAATCAGAATGTAATGTAATTTATATCGTCAGTTGTTTCGGTAGAAATTTAGACAGCTTCAGCTTTTAAGTCTAATGTCATAGTACTACCTTAAGTTTAATTTCCAGAATATGAATATCTGTCTTCTGTAAAAGGACGACAACGATATTAAGGGACGCTGAAGTGTTTTGAATACTTTTTTTTCTCACTGATTTTTATTATAAGTATAAACCAAGAGATCCATTTTTCTGGCTGAACGTCTATCTCCTGGATAAATAAAATCATGCTAAAATATGTGAGTAATATGCATTGCTTTTGTAATAAGAACATATAATAAAAGTTATTTTTAATTAAAAAATGCAATTAATTTTAAGGCCACACACAAAAGGAGATAGCTTTTGGTACATTATATGTACATAATATTAATAACACTGTCCAAAATATGTTTGAAATTAGCTCCTTTAAAACAATTTTCATATTATTAGATTGTGTGTATATTTCCAACTAGTAGTTTTAACTGGTGACTCATACCTTTTTCAGATTTCACTAGCATTTCACAATGGTATCAGGAAGATCGTGACTGCCATGAACCTCAGGATAGGAAACCGGGAGCTAGGTGGTAGTCTCCACACCCCCTTCTCCATTTCTCTCCTTTGACATGTAAAAGAAAAAATAATCAAGTGACATCCATTTGATACTAACTTTTAAGCAGATGAGGGGAATGTATGAGATGCCAAAACACTAACTTTTTTATTGGGCACTGGAATATTTAAAAATTTGAATGGATTTTAATGAGATAGCATCACTGTCATCGTGGAGAATAGTATTTTCTTTTTCTTAAAAACATCAAAGCACAAAATCTTTCTTCTTTTATCCTCAGTGAGCCAATGCCAGCTGCATTACTTCAACCTTTTACAGCAGAGAATTCCCAAAGGCATGTAAGTGCCTTTTTTAAATTGTATACAATACCTGTGAAAACCAGGTTAGGCTCTATAGGTGAGTTTCTCCTTGCAATTAAGTAAAATACTTTCAGAAGTATAGGAGGAGCCCTGGGAAGCGGCATTCCAGATCTAATGGGGCCTAGCTTCAAAAAAGTGTCATGCCCTTCCCCAAGCCTCCTGCCTACATTTATGGAATGACTAGTTTATCCACATGGGCTTCCTTCCTTAGTGATGTGTTTTGCCTCATTGTTTGCATCTAGTTTTCACTTCCTAGGCTCTCTCCCTATTCATTCATTGCCTTTTTAGAATTTATGGATGGCATGGGGAACAGTGTCAGGGTGTGATTTAATAAAGTCTATTAAATATTCTTTCCTGAATTTAAATTCCTGGGTCATTTCACTCAAACTCAGGCTGTTTGAGACTAAAATTGGTTTCAGCTAAAGGTGTCAGTTAATCTAAAATAATGGCTCATATATAACAGAAGGACATTATCTCCCCAACAATGAAGTGTGGAGGTGAGTAGTCATCAGGGACCCAGGTCCTTCTGCCATATTATCTCATCATGCTTAAAATGTGTTGGATTCTGCTTCATACGGTGAGACAGCTGCTCCAGCTACAGGAGACATGCCTGCATTCCAGACGGCTGGAAGAAGGCAAGAAGGACAGACCAACTTCTTTTAACGACATTTCCTAGATTTTGCATATATACTTATGCTTACATTCCCTCGGACAAAACTTAGTAAAATGATTATATATAGCTGCCAGGCAGGCTGGACATTTTTTTTATTCCAAATGGCTTTGTGCCAGCTATAATTGTGGTTGAAGTACCAAAGAAGGGTGACAAGTCTGAAGGGCTATAAGAAGGTAAGCAATAGCCTCCTTTGAGGAGTTGGGTTGCAATACTTTGTAAAGGAGAAAAATAAATTATTTTTTCCTTCTACCTTCCTAGGTTCTTTGGCCGGGGTCCTGCAAATTAGACTGACAAAGGAGAGATTAATAAGAGAAAAGCAGTTTGTTAATGCATGCAGTATACATGCATTACTAGGTATTTTCTAGTAAGATCCTCTGGAGATTATCAATTCCATAGGGGTATGCAACTTTGAATGACTTTCTATAATATTAAGTAGGCTCTTTTACAGCTCTTTAAGAATGGAGGTTGGCCAGGCATGGTGGCTCATGCCTGTAATCCTAGCACTCTGGGAGGCTAAGGTGGGAGGATTGCTTGAGGTCAGGAGTTCAAGACCAGCCTCAGCAAGAATGAGACCCCATCTCTACTAAAAATAGAAAGAAATTAGCTGGGCAATAAAAAATACAAAAAAATTAGCTGGGCAATTAAAAATAGAAAAAAATTAGCTGGGCATGGTGGCACATGCCTATAGTCCCAACTACTTGGGAGGCAGGAGGATGGCTTAAGCCCCAGGAGTTTGAGGTTGCTGTGAGCTAGGCTGACACCATGGCACTCTAGCGACGGCAACAGAGCAAGACTCTATCTCAAAAAACAAAACAAAACAAAATAGACTCTATCTCAAAAAACAAAACAAAACAAAATATACATTTGCTACTAGGAATACAAATGATCCTATCTGAGAATAATGCAAATGATTCCTGATAGTAAAGCAGATGAATTTTGTCCATTTTGTTTCAATTAATTTCCATCAGGTAGAAAAGCCAATTCTAAATATTACAGTTTGTTGCTCTGTAGAATATTAACTAGTTTTGCATCTAGTAGAAAAGTCATTTCAGAATGCTTTTGACTATATAAATCTCTGTGCCTCAAATTCTTTATTGAACCAGTGATAGCATTTTAATGGTTCCTCATTAATCAACGAGTTGAATGTAATCTTTGACACATTCATTTTATATTTACATGAGTATCATGTTTTTAACTTTTTGAAAAATCATACTTTAGAAGGTGCTTACATGATAGGAATTTACGTATTAGTTGAGAAAAGATAAAATGTGAAAAAACAGGCAGTAGGCAATAAATGATCAGGATGGATTTTGGGGACTGTTGTAGACTGTATTTCTGGATGACTGTATTTTTAAAATTTATTTCTGCATTTCCTTTACTCATTTATGCGGACAACTCTGCTCTGCACTATGGGGCACAGTGGAAGGGAACAGAAACACAAATGAGGCACAAACCCTGGCCTAGACAGTTAACAGCTTGTTGTGGGAATATTTGGGAGGGAGACAACATTCCTCTCTTATATTCAGTGACTAGGACCTGTGGATTAAATTAACAAAAAACAGATTAACAGGAGAGAAAAAAACAGTTTGTTTACAGATGCAGTGTAAATATATATGGGAAAACTCAGTGATGAGTAACTGGGAGGGGTGGTTAGAATCTGGAGCTTACCATCTTAATGGGGAGCAGGAGAAAGGCACTTGTAGGAAAACCAGATGGCTTTTCGAAAGATGAATGGGTTTTCAGGAGAACAAACAGGAAATAAGAATATTTGTAATAATGTTTGTCTATAGAAGTATGAGTGTCTTCTGTCTCCTTCAGGGCCATAAAACTCTCCCAGAGGAGGAATTTGGGATAAGTTTTACCCACGGTTTCCCTTCTGGGAGTAGATCTGCCCTGAAGAGGAATTTGTGGCAACCTTATTTCCTAGAAGCTCTTGCTTTTAGTCAGATAAGAGAAGCCGAAGAAAGCTTTTTTTCCCCTTGCATCACTGAATCTCAAGTGTTTCCAGTTTAAAATCATCTTTATGCCAAAGTGGAATATTTGGGGGTGGCATATCCTGATTCCCTTCAGGAGGAAGACAGAAAACAAATCATTGCAACACTATAACGATGGTTAGAAAAGAGAATAACATTTGAGACCTTACTGTGTCCTTAGATGCTTTATTATTTTAATAAAACCTCACATTTTGTAGGAATTGTAACCGAGTTTTATAATTAGAGCACAGAGAACCAGCTAAGTGCTGTGATAGTCATGAACAACATACTATGGGAGCTCCAAAGCAATTTGACATGTTTTCATTCCGGAGACCAAAGCATTCCCCTTACCTCTCTCTTCATGCATTTGGTTAACTCTGGACTCGGGCCAAATCCTGCCCTAGGAAGAGCCACCAAGTGGGAAGCCTGGGGTAGGCCTGGGCAAATACGGATAATGTGTCACTCACTGCAGGACTCTGGGGACTGAGGACTCTGCAGGACTCTGAGCCTCTGCAGGACTGAGGCTCTTAGGTTTGCAATCAGGTAGGACCTGCTCCTTGCTGGGAAGCCACAGATCTGGAGGGACAGAGGCAGGGACGATTAGTTTATTCCTTTGAGCTTTTCAGCCTTCAGTGCTGCTTCAAGAGAGCCTTAGGAGATCTGGTATTTGGGAGAGGGGCATGAGGCAGCACCCGGAGGTGGAGCGTACGTAGGAAAGCACAAGGGGACGGTCCCCTGTTCTCTTCCCCCAGTGCTGGCCATAGTTGCAGAAGGTGGACCGTAAACACAGGCAAATATTGACAGAAGTCAAGGTCATGGCAAGACCATTTGGCCCATATCTGTTGGGGAAGGATCAACTTGCAGTTCCAAAAGAGTGGTCAACTGGATTTGCATTCCTGGAAACTGGGAAATTTCTGAAACTGAGTTTTAAACCTGGCAGCTCTTGTACCCTTCTTTTGTATCTCTGCAAATTCTCTCCCCATACAACTTCCTTCCTGTTGTAGGAATTTTTTTTTTTTTTTTTTTTTTTTTTTTGCATTTTCTCCAGAAAAGGGAAATCAACATAACCTCTTCTGTAGGAGGAAGGTGGCTAGTCTGCCGTAAGCGGGGTTAGAAGATCTATTCCACTCTGAAACAGGTGTCTGGGCTGGATTAATTCCAGCCTGGGTCAAGTAATTGATCAGCAGATGTTTTTTCGGTTTGTGTGCTGTCTTGTGGTTGTGTGGCTGATTTCTGCTTCAGACGGTATGTATGCTTTCCTTAAACTCAGGGCTGACAAGGCATTTGATTCCAGTCTGTAGAATTCTGTCTGAAGTTTTAATGAAATTTAAATTTTATGATATTTCTTTATTGAAAAATCTCAAATGACCGATGCTCTGTGTTCAATAGTGTCTCAGTATATATTTGATGATGAACCTGCTCTGGGTGGTTATGGTTTACCTTCCCTTTCTGTTCTGGGAGCTAAAAAAAAAAAAAACAGCACCAATTTCAAACTCCTGAGAGGTTTTACCTGTAATAAACTCCACGACTACTATTTGGGAAGGGGATTGTTTGTTTAGGAGTGGACAACTTGTGGCTGAATTTGAGTGAAATCCTGTTATCCTTTTGGAAGTAAAACTTTGGAAATCCTTGGAAAGGGAGAGACATGGATGGAAGAAGACAGGAGTCAAGAGCAACCATGCAGCAAAAGGACACTGGAATGCAGGCATCTAAGAAGAGCTTTTCCTACAGTACATGCTAGGCCGAGTGAATCTGTTTTCTTTTTCCTTCCAGCAGAGAGCTGTTCGGAACCTCCCCCAGTGAACAATAGCATATTTGTTGCAAAGGAGGTAGAAGGACAGATTCTGGGGACTTACTTGTGTATTAAGGGCTACCACTTGGTGGGTGAGAAAACCCTTTCTTGCAATGCCTCTAAGGAATGGAGTGGCCCCACTGCTAAATGCCGCTGTAAGTTGGATCTTTCTGCTTCTTCGCCCTAATTGTCATCCCGTTATATTCTTTCACATACTACTTCCTGTAGGCCACGTTCAAACCTTATAAGAGAAAAACCTTTTTCAATTTCTCAGAGTCCACTTTTAAAGCACTCTAGTGGTGGAACTTCTCTTGGAAGGTATGTGATCAGCTCTTGGTCAGTATTAATTTGGTGGAATTAATAGAATCAATTATACTTACAAGAAGGAAATATTTTTTTCCATATATTAAAACTACCTTTCTTGCTATCATTTGTTGAATCTCATACTGATTTAAAAATTTTTTTATGGTATGGAAAATTTTAAATATATACAAAAGACAGAAGAGTCGAGTTTATGCATATATATACTCATCACATATCTTCATTAATTATCAACACATGACTAATCTTGTTTCATCTGTATCCTCACTTTATTATTTCGAAGTGAGTATATCATATGATTTTATTTCACTCATCATACAACATTTGAGCTAGGGAAAAATTATGTTCTCAATTTACAAATGTGATACAGAGATCCAACTGACATGCTCAAGGTTAGGAAACTCATTTGTGGTATTCTCTGTAGAGATGAGAATAAGGAGTCTATATTCTATTTATTATTGTAATTTTTTAAGAACAGCTACATTGAGTTCTCCCGTATACCTATAGTAAAGCACACCAATATCATTATCCTTCATTTATATGACCAAATTCACATTCCTCTGCATTCTCTCCTGTTTTTCCACATCATAGGAAAAAAAAAAAAGAAAAATGGTAAATGTATATTTAGCTGGATGAAAGGGAAGGAAAGACTTGCCTCAAACATGGGCTCAAGAATTTGGAGCCATGCTTAACATAAACAGGACAATAAACATGCTATTGGTAATTTCTAGTTATATGCATAATTACCTTTAGTAAATTCAATTGCCAATTCGTATCATTCTTGTGCATGACTAAGATCTTTCCTGCCACACGTAGGTCAACCTCCTCTTTTCTCATCTTATATATTGATATAGTTTAGTACCATGTACCTGGCCCTATTAAAGATGTGCAGTTTTAGCTCTAATTTTCTATTTTCTCACTGAAGACAGGAAGTCTGGCTTTTGCTGTGAGAAGCTTCAGCCTTGCCCTTCCAGCTTACTGCTTGTTTTCGTCTTCAGTGGGCCACTGTCCTGACCCCGTGCTGGTAAATGGTGAATTCAATTCTTCGGGGCCTGTGAATGCAACTGACAAAATCACGTTTAAGTGCGATGACGACTACATCCTCAAGGGCAGCAGTTGGAGCCAGTGTCTGGAGGACCACACCTGGCAACCTCCCTTTCCCATCTGCAAAAGTAGTAAGTACAGGCGAAACCATCGCAAACCCCAGGGATACTGAGTAGTGATGTCGCCGTAGACATTTGCAACACCCCTGTGGTGTTTTCCTGTTTTTTTTTAAATTAGATTGTTTATTTCGGCATATTTGGGATACAGATTTTAAGGTTTCAATAAATGCCCATTCCCTCCCCTCCCCACAAGTCTGAGTCTCCAGCATGACCATCCCCAGATGATGCGCATCTCACCTCATTATATTGTATATACCTGCCCTCCCCTCCCCCTGCCAATACCCTATTACTGTAGTACCTATGTGTCACTTAGGTGCTGCTCGTTAATACCAAGTTGCTGGTGAGTTATGTGGTGCTTGTTTTTCCATTCTTGGGAAACTTCACTTAATAGTTGGGTTCCAGCTTTAACCAGGAAAATATAAGATGTGCTATATCACGTTGTTTCTTAGAGCTGAATAGTACTCGTGGTATACATATACCACATTTTATTAATCCATTCTTGGATTGATGGGCACTTGGGCTGTTTCCACAGCCTTGCAATTATGAATTGTGCTGCTATAAACATTCGAGTGCAGGTGTCTTTTTTTTTTTTTGAAACAGAGTCTCATTTGCTGCCAGGCTAGAGTGAGTGCCATGGCGTCAGCCTAGCTCACAGCAACCTCAAACTCCTGGGCTCAAGCAATCCTCCTGCCTCAGCCTCCCAAGTAGCTGGGATTACAGGCATGTACCACCATGCCTGGCTAATTTTTCTATATATATTAGTTGGCAATTAATTTCTTTCTATTTATAGTAGAGTGGGGTCTCGATCTTGCTCAGGCTGGTTTGAACTCTGATCTTAAGCAATCCTGCCGCCTCGGGCTCCCAGAGAGCTAGGATTACAGGCATGAGCCACACCAGGCCATTTTTTGTTGTTGTTGTTCCTGGGAAGGGCTTAGGATCTAGCCGATAGCCAAGAAACAGGTAGAACTCACAGAACCAAACCTCAACTCAAGTGATACATTCCAGTGAAATGAATAGCAATGAAATGAACAACATTTTCTTTTCTCAAGTAGAATTACTGTCCTACTAGGTCCAATGCAGGGTGGTTTAGGGCGTTGACTATTTTATTTTTTAATTTCAAGATAGTGATTTGAAGTTTTTATTTGAAAAATATACACCAAAAAAAAAAAAAAAAAGGGAGAGAAAAAAGACCATAGCTCATTCGCTGCAAAATTATCTACAACAAGAGGTGAAAGTCCCTCTTTCTAGCACTACAGTTTATCTTTCTCAGAGGTAACCAATTGGATGTGTTTATTTCATGACTTTTTCTTGTGTTTATGCAGACATTTAGAACAAACACACACAAATAATACGTTTAAATTAAATAAGCATTGTGTGCATATACATATGCCTATAAAAATGGGACCTTGACAACACTAAGAAAATGTCAAAAAAAAAGAAATAAAAAAGTGTAAATATAATTAAAAAAAAAGAAAAAAAATGGGACCTTGCTGTACATATTTTTAAATTATTTTATTTATAACAATATATATGCACACTTTTCCAGACCCATACCTATAGCTCTATTGCTTGTTTTTAAATAATTGCATGGAGGTATGCCATAATTTATTATGCATCTCTCATATTGGTGGACATTTATTTTATGTCCATATTTTTGTTATTAAGAACAATGCTGAAATGAGTGTTTTATGCACACACACACACACACACACACACACACACATCCTTATGTCTGTTATTACTTCTAGAGTATAGATTCCTAGAATGATTGCTGGGTCACAAGATGCTATTATTTGAAGAATATATTTAAAATATTCAAGAACTCTACTAAAAATTTTAATACATACTTGGTTACAAAATAAATGGTGAAAAATCAATGGTGTTACTTTCTATTAATAATTATTAGTTGCATATTCAAATATAAAAGTAATTTCATTTGCAAGATATATATGAAAATTTACTGAAGGACATAAAACAAGACTTTACTTAAAAAAAGATATTCCATGACCTTGAATGGGCAGACTTAGTTTTACAGTGCAATCCCCACCATAATTTTATTTTATTTTATTATTATTATTTTTTGAGACAGAGTCTCACTTTGTTGCCCAGGCTTGAATGAGTGCCTAGCTCATAGCAACCTCAGACTCCTGGGCTCAAGCAATCCTGCTGCCTCAGCCTCCTGAGTAGCTGGGACTACAGGCATGCGCCACCATGCCCAGCTAATTTTTTCTATATATATTTGTTGGCCAATTAATTTCTTTCTATTTATAGTAGAGATGGGGTCTTGTTCTTGCTCAGGCTGGTTTCGAACTCCTGACCTGGAGCAATTCTCCCGCCTTGGCCTCCCAGAGTGCTAGGATTATAGGCGTGAGCCACCTCGCCTGGCCCCCACCATAATTTTAAATTTAAAAAATATGAATCAAAAGATTAACTTTAAAATCCATCTGGAAGAGTACATATCTAACAGCATGAATTTATTTTTTCAGAAAATGATGAGTAATGCATATATTTTGCTGAATTACAGGGTAGGAAACACATGATTAGATAGTAAAATATACCACAAATATAAGCAAAATAGCATTTTTTTCCTTTTTTTAAAATTGTTTTCCTTTTTTTAAATTTTTTAATTTTCTTCTAATTTTTTCATTTATAATTCTATATTTTCCAGAAGCAGAGAAAATAGCATTAAAATATCAAATTGTAGGTGCTATAATTAATATGCCATTAAAAGAGCAATGTATAGGTACAGATAAGTGGAAGAGTTTACTTTAAATCTGGAGAAAAAGTCTGTATTCAGTGGTAATGTGATATTATTTATTTGGAAGCAGACAAAATTAGGGCTCTAACTCACACCGTATTAAAAATATATTCCAAATGGATTCATATATATAAACATAAAAAAGCAAAATTATTACATCATTAAAAGAAAATATGAGAGAATATATTTATTATCTTGGGATGGGAAAAGCCTTCCTAAGTAGTAACATAAAACTCAGAAGTTATAAAGGAAGAAAATGGACAGCTTTAACTAAAATTTTTTAAATAAAAATTTCTACATATAAAAGATGTCAAAAAATTAAAAGATAACAGACTCTTGGAGAAAACAGTTGATGGTTAAAGAATTCATATTTTTAATATACAAAGAGCCCCTAGAAATCAGTGAGGAAAAGGCAATCCAAAAAAAAAAAAATGGGAAAATTGTGTAAGGATAGACAATTCCAAAATTATGACCGCAAAGAAGTGTTTCTTTCCCAATTTTCTGAAAGGATATTGAACATTACTAATAATTACAGAACTAGAAACTAAAATTAGACGCAAATACTTTACTGATCATAGTAGCAAAAAATGAAAAGATCAATTTCATCTAATATCACTCAGGCTAAGAGGAAACAGCCATTTATGTCGGTGAGAGTATAAAGTAATATCACACGTTGGATGTATTTTGACAGTAGCTATTAAAATAATAAAGACAGGCATTTAAATTGCAAACTACATATGCTCTTAAGTGAGGGAATTTGGGGTTACTTAAAACACACATACATACTATATACTGTTAAATTATAAGCATATAATATCATTTTATATCATTAGCTTGACATTAGCTTAAAATATTTCCTTATTTCTTCCATACCTTTTCTGTTTTACTCTCTTTTAATTCAGTAGTTCCTATTTTAGCTCCCAAGAACGGGGATTTTTTTGTGTCACTTCATCACCCAAATCCAAGTGGAGCTCCCTAGGTCCCTCAATAAGTCATATTTTCTATTTAGAACCAAGATGCACATTATCTCCTTCAGTTAAAAATTGTACACAGAAACCCTGTCTGCACTGGAATTCCCACTCATGGAAATTTCTTTTGCTTTCTTCTATTTAGCCTTTGAACTCAGTCTTTGAACTTTTAAAGATTATTTACAGTATATTACCTGCTCAAGTAATATGTCTTTGCCATAGAAAAATATACAAAGTAAAAGAAGAAAGCAGTTGCTTACAAGCCTAGCACACAAGGGTAAGGGTTATGAGTGCTTTGATATATACCTTTCCAGACTTTTTTCTGTGTATACGTTTGTGTGTGACTGTGTTTTTTAAAAAATATATATTATATTAACATGCTGTTTTACGATTTGCCGTTCTTATTAGACCATTTGTTTTGAACACCTTTATGTAAATATACATCTACATAATCATTCTTCATGTAGCCTTTAATATTGACCAACATGTTTAACCTCGTACAATCCCAGAGTTGAAAGGGAGCTTAGAGATAGTATTATTTAACCTGCTTGTATTGTAGAAAGAAAGTCAAGAGGGGGCAGAATGGCTTTTTCAGCACCATGTAGTTAGCAAAAGAACCAAAATCAAAACTGACAACTCCCAGTCCCTTGTCCAGCTCTGTTCTCCCTTTTTTTTCTGAAGCTCTCATATGCCATAACTCTGTCCCATGGGAGATGTCAACCTCCCTGTGAGCTCACATCCTGTATCTCCTGACTCAGAGAGTGATGTCTTCTGCCTTCACCTGTGGTCTAGTATTTCTTTTCTTGTACATTAAAATGAGCATCTCTACAACCTAAACTTTGTTCCCTTGAGCTCCTCCTGCCAGTCAGAAAGGACTCCCAAATCCCTGATAACAGAGAGCATGAGCCAGGAGAAGGGTGTCTCCCAGGGACAAATACGATTGTGATGAGACGGAAATGGAAGCAGAGCATGTCCCCACATCCCACGTGTGCAGCTGTGAAGATGTCGGTGCTGGTGACAGGGAACCCCGCCCCCCCACTGGGGCCCCATGGCTGAACTCACTGCTGATTGGATACTTTTTGAATCCCACTGCTGATTGGATATGTAAAGCTTGTTGCTGATTGGATATGTAAAGCTAGTTGCTGATTGGATGCTTTTTGAATCCCACCGCTGATTGGTTACTCATAGTTGATTGGTTGTGTGTAACCCCAAGAAGTGTGTAAAATTGGAGGAGAACAAGGAAGCAGTGCTCAGAATTTGGTGGCATGGCCCTCTGAGCCCGCTGGTGAAATAAAGGCTGATTCTCTGACCCTCTGTGTGCCACTCAGTTCTTTCCCTTGTCAGTCACTGTTAACACTTGCTGTACACTTGCTGTACACTTGCTGTACACTTGCTGGAACACTGGTTGCAGACAGTGGTTCTTAGGGGGTGCTATTCACATATCTGGCCCTCACAATTCTATTCCTTTCTCGCAGGAGACTGTGGCCCTCCGGGGAATCCACTTCATGGCTATTTTGAAGGCAATGATTTCACTAGAGGATCTACCATTACTTATTACTGTGAAGAGGGGTGAGTGCACACAGCCTTTCAAATGCAAGATCTCACCCCTTGGGAGTATCCTTTTTTGGGAACGACCCAGTCTATGCCCACTGGAGTCCCTATTTTTCCTACGGTTTCAGGATTCTGAGCTCATTCTGATTCTGAGGGCTGCTTTAGTCCGCTGCTAGCTCTCCCCAATCTCTGGAAGACAGGCTTATTCTGTTAAAGGATCCTATTTATCCTAACGAAAGTGTCACTTTCAGTTAAGACAAGGAGAAAGTATTGAAAATATATGTGTTTCTGAAGAAACAGAACAACAAGAAAAACAACAACAAAGCACCCTAAAACATTAAAAAAAAATACAGAGGTGCAGAAATACAAAGACTTAGAGTATAAACCCTTAAAGCACCCTAATTAAAGTCGAACCTCAATTTAGACTGCCTGGCCACCCACCTGACAGAGCTTCTAGCCTTTTCTTTCCCTTGCCTCAATCGTACTAACTCAGAGTCACATGGCCTCCCTAGAGTTTCAGTCTCATTATAGAATTCCAACAGACTTTGCAGTCAACGCTCATGTTTTTCCGATGAAAAACTCCTGCTGCTTTTTAGCCCATTCACTAAGATTTATTTGAGGGGAATTTCTAACTTTCTACTCCTTTTTAGACTTTAGACAACAGATGCCTTCTTAGCCTGTCCAATGATAAAACGCTTCTTCCCTCACTCTCCCGACCAAGAAAACTGTGTGCATAAACACACTGAGTCAGAATTTCTCACTTCTCTTGTTTTATGGGTTGACCCATCACTTGGATTCTCCCTACCCTCCGAAGAAAGAGAGTGTTTTCACTTTATATTTTTCACACTTCCTTGCCAGATGTGTTGGTTTACAGGGAATGCTTTTGATACCTTCAATGAATTAATGCAGAAGTTTTATGCAAGGAAGGACTTAACCCAGTGTCATTGCCGCTTTGCTTTCCATCTCTGCTCACCGTTCTACATGTGTGATAGCTGGTGACCCCATCATCGTGGCAGGACCAAGGGGGCAGGGGGCCACTGGCTCATGAGCCGCTCTGTGTCCTCTCTCCCTCCCTTCCTTGGGGAGATGAATTGGATGAGTATTCTGTGGTCTTTTTTTTCTTTCTTTCTTTCTATTAATAATCTCTGTTCAGGTACCGCTTGGTGGGCACGCAGGACCAGCGTTGCGTGGACGGGGAGTGGAGCAGTGCCCTCCCGTCCTGCGAAGCCCCCAAACCCGCTCCACGGACCGCGTTGGAGAAGGCACTTGTGAGTAGGCGGCTCATGTCTGTCCTGTCAACAGCTGTGTCTCCTGGCCTGGCATCGCTGCTGGCACCTGCTCCAGGAACACCTGTTCCACGGGGGATGTTTTTGAATGAGTTGGCCTTGGCCTGATTATAGAAGGGAAAGGGGTTCATAAACTCTGAACTGACGCTTTTGTACATGGAAGTTCCTGTCCGCCACCATCATCGCAAATGCCTCGTAAGACCCCGCTGGCGGGAGTTGTCATCTCGTGTGCCCCACAGAGCGAAGTACACAAACTCGATGCCTGAGATTTGGATGCCCTGCTGTGAAAAAGTCTCTGAAACTCTTTTTTTTTTTTTTTTTTTTGAGGCAGAGTCTCACTCTGTTGCCCGGGCTAGAGTGCTGTGGCATCAGCCTAGCTCACAGCAACCTCCAATTCCTGGGCTCAAGCGATCTTCCTGCCTCAGCCTCCAGAGTAGCTGGGACTACAGGCACGCACCACCATGCCTGGCTAATTTTTTTCTAGATTTTTTTTTAGTTGGCCAATTAATTTATTTCCATTTTTAGTAGAGACGGGTTCTCGCTCTTGCTCAGGCCGGTTTTGAACTCCTGACCTTGAGCAATCCTCCCGCCTCGGCCTCCCAGAGTGCTAGGATTACAGGCGTGAGCCACCGCGCCTGGCCCTGAAACTCTTATAGGCTCCAAAAAACACTGAACAGATCTGTTTTCGTTGAGACTCTTCTTTTAGTTCATATTACTGGGGTAATATTAATAAGTATGCTTAAGCCAGAAAATGTAGATGATTCATCATGGTAAAGACCCAGATCTTTCCTTAAACTGGCCCGGGTCTGAGCCCCCCATTCAGGGACCTCGCTGGCTTCAGAGTATATAGCTGGGTCTCAGCCCATAGGTTGTAACTTAAAATTTGTTTTTCTTCAGCTTGCCTTTCAGGAGAATAAGGACCTTTGCAAAGCTACAGAAGACTTCATGCAACGATTAAAGGAATGTAACTTGACGATGGAAGAACTAAAATATTCTCTGGAATGGAAGAAAGCTGAGTTGAAGGGGAAAATGTAGCTGGTAATAGTGATACATCGATGAATAAATTTTCCTCTTGGCTCTGAAATTGGTTTCAGATTTCTCTCTCACTGGGCTGAAATCCAAGTGCATAGTAACCAGCTGCAGTTGTATAATGCACTGTGCGTGTGTGTGTGTGTGTGTGTTGTTGTTCTTGGAATGTGAAAAAACCAAGAGTGGTGGCTGTCTGTTTAAGATAAGAATTAGTAACATACTAGTGAGGAGTGGAGGGTTTAATTTCCTGTCTGTAAGGAGAGTGGGAAAGCTTGGGTCTCAGCTAAAAGTGTGCGTCATATTTTAATATGAAATACGAATTATGAGGCAAAAATTAACTAAAATTTATGAGGCAAAAATTAGCCTCCCATTTTGGGAAAATAGGCTCAAAACAGCTAAATGACCCACCGAGACAGAAGTTGAGTTGTTCACTCAAAACTATATATATGTGTGTGTGTGTTTATATATATATATATATATAATAGAAAAATAAAGAAAGAAAGAAAAAAAAAGAAGTTGAGTTGTTTCATTGAGTTTTACTTCATGTGTGCCCATGAGTGTTGAACAATTAGTTTCAATTTAATAGTGGCTACATGCGGTGTTTGTTTTTCCATTCTGGTAATACTTCACTCAGAAGAATGGTCTCCAGTTCCATCCAAGTTGTTACAAAAGGTATTAGTTCACCTTTTTATGGCTGAGTAGTACTCCCTGGTGTATATATACCACATTTTATTAATCCACTCATGTACTGATGGGCACTTGGGTTGTTTCCACATCTTTGCGATTGTGAATTGTGCTGCTATAAACATTCAAATAAACGTGTGTTTTTGACAAAATGACTTTTTTTCCTTTGAGTAAATCCCAAGTAGTGGGAGTGCTGGATCAAATGGTAAGTCCAACTTTAGTTCTCTGAGGTATTTCCATACTATTTTCTGTTAGGTTGGTTCCAGGTGGGAACTGAAAAAGGATGTATAGGACAGAATGTGGTTAATGCAAAAACTTAGGCTTGTGAAACAATAGATGCAGGAGTCTGGAGAGTTCTGACATTGTCAATCCAACAGACAGCTACAGCAAGCATTCCTTCCCTGCCACCCCATAGAGACGAAGTTTATCCCTCCCTCCTTCTCCTGATAAGAATGACTCCGGAGCTGATGGAAGGATATGACTGGGGCAGGAGTCATAGGAGCTGGTTGTTTGAAAAAGAATTAATTACAAGAAGCTGTTCTGGCCCACTTACTCCCCCCAGGAGAAACCCTCCATAAAACCCAAGGCTCTCCCCTTTTCGTAGACATTTTTTCCCCTCCACCCATCTTCACCCAGATGCTCAAAATAAACAGCATTTTGCTATACGTGAGGCTTCATGTGTCTCCTCAGCTCTGGACCTAAAACTTTCCATAGAAGTTGTACTAGTTTGCAGTCCCACCAGCAGTGTGTAAGTGTTTCTTAATTTCCACATCCATGCCAAGATCTGTTGTTTTGGGACTGTTTGATAAAAGCCATTTTCACTGGAGTTAAGTGATATATAACAGTGGTTTTTTTTTGTTTTTGTTTTTGTTTTTTTTTTGAGACAGAGTCTCGCTTTGTTGCCCAGGCTACAGTGAGTGCCGTGGTGTCAGCCTAGCTCACAGCAACCTCAAACTCCTGGGCTCAAGCGATCCTGCTGCCTCAGCCTCCCGAGTAGCTGGGACTACAGGCATGCACCACCATGCCTGGCTAATTTTTTGTACATATATTTTTAGTTGGTCAATTAATTTCTTTCTATTTTTAGTAGAGACGGGGTCACGCTCAGGCTGGTTTTGAACTCCTGACCTCAAGCAATCCGCCCGCCTCGGCCTCCCAGAGTGCTAGGATTACAGGCATGAGCCACCATGCCTGGCCCGTCATGGTGGCTCTGATTTTCATTTCACTGATAATTAGTGATGTTGAGCACTTTTTCATATGAGTGTTGGCCATTTGTCTATCTTCTTTTGAAAAAGCTTCTGTTCATATCTGTTGCCCACTTTTTAATGTTTGTTTGATGTTTTTCTTGCTGATTTGTTTGAATTCTTTATAAATTCTGGTCATCAGCCCTTTATCAGATGTATAGCATGCAAATATTTTCTCCCATTCTGTAGGTTGTCTATTCACTTTTTTGATTGTTTCCTTGGCTGTATAGCAGCTTTTTAACCCAAAGATTCTGCCAAGAGACTCCTGGAATTGATAATAAATTCAACAAAGTTGAAGTTCCAGATCAATGTACACAAATCAGTAGCATTCCTATATACAATAACAGTGAAGCTGCGAATCAAATCAAAGACTTAATACCTTCACAATAGCAACAAGGAAAATAAAATACCTAGGAATATATTTAACCAAGGGGGTGAAAGACCTTTATCGTGAGAACTATGAAACACTGAGGAAGGAAATAGCAGAGGTTGTAAACAGCTGGAAAAACATACCATGCTCATGGATAGGCAGAATCAACATTGTTAAAATGTCTATGGCACCCAAAGTGATTTAAAGATTCAATGCAATCCCCATTAAAACACCAACATTATTTTTTGCATATGTATAAAAAATAGTTCGTATGCTTCATATGGAACCAGAAAAGACCCCAAATAGCCAAAGCAACCTTAAGCAAAGAGAACAATTCAGGAGGCATCACCTTACCAGGGTTCAATCTATACTACAGGACTATAGTAACCCAAACAGCATAGTACTGGCACAAAAAACAAAGACATAGACTTATGGATCAGAACAAGGAACCCAGATACAAAACCATCCTCATATTGCCATCTGATTTTTGACAAAGCTGATAAAAAGAAAACACTGGGGAGAAGAAACTCCTTTCAATCAATGGTGCTGGGAAAATTGGATAGCCACATGTAGAAGATTGAAACTGGATTCACACCTCTCACCTCTCACAAAAATTAATTCAGGATGGATAACAGACTTAAACCTAAGACATGAAACTATAAGAATTCTAGAAGAAAATGTTGGAAAAACTTTTAGATATTGGCCTAGGCAAAGAATTTATGAAGAAGATCCCCAAAGCAATCACAACAATGACAATCTCTTGAGCACACAAATCTTAAGCTTTAGGATTAAGCAGCTCAATTGGACAATGTCAGGGATTGGGATCCTCCTAGATCTATGTGGAAACAAACAGGACTGGCTCTTCATTGCATTTTTCTGAGCAGCACTCAAGTATAGACCAACTTCTGGAGGTGCCTGGTACATAGTAGCGGTGATGGTGGTAGTAGTTAGCATTTGTTGAGCTTTGAGTGTGTTCCAGGCAACTCAGCACATAATAGGAACTCAATAAATGTTTGGTAAATTCCCTACTTTTTGCAATTCTTTGGGGTGAGATGGAGACCAGCACAGGGCAAGACCCCTCAGTCTCTGAACCCCAGGAAAGCCTACTGGACCTAGTGTTATAGAAAGGGGATCATTTTTGTGGAGTTTGTAGGAACTCTACAGTATCTAGGGTTTCTAGGCTAGCTGGATTGTGTCTTACCTAACTCTCTTGTGTTTACAGAAAGAAAAAAAAAAAGAATTCTGGCATTGAATCCAAATTACCTCTTCACTTAGGGGAAATGGTTGGCAGAAGAGGGAAAAAAAATGATTGCAACACGTTATCGAGAATGAGGACTATTGAAGAGAAAGAAGTTTAGGTAAATACTGCTTGATGTATTATTTGTGCTGTTAATCATTCACTGGATCAGTTAAGAGTTTCTGACCATCCATTTCCGCTCAGCTGTCCCTGACCAGCCAACCGCATGGCTGGGATTTAGGGACTTTTTGGTGGAGCAATTACTAGCCAATTTCAGGGCAGTATGATAAATTCTGATTTGGGGAAGAGCTAAGACTGTAGAGAGCCAGGCAGCTTCATTCCTTGAGAAACTACCCAAGGCATCACCATAGAATCTTCTCCTTCTTCCTCAGCTACTGCAGGTCAGTTGGGGTAGCTTGGGGAAAAGGCTGGTGGCTCCACCCTTTATGGAGGGCTTGATTAGAAGGATAAGACAGAGACAAAAACTTGGGGGTGTTTTCAGCAGAAGTGTTTTCAAGAGTACTGCCTTAGGGCATTGTGTGACTTGAAAAGTACTTTTAACCCCTTCAGAGCCTCAAGTTTTTAATGTAAATAGAAGAACAATAATCTACTCATAAAAACTAAAGCAGAAAATGTGTAATATGTCGCTCTTGTTATTGTATGTAAAAGGTGTGCTGGTTTGTCTGTCACCATGTCTTCACATAGGGGAGTTGAGGCAGGAGGGGAGCCAGACTCCCCGAAAGGGTTCACAGGAAACCTGGTTTTCATGTACCCACATTCTGAAACTTGGTGCAATATTTTTGGAGATTTGATTAACTCCTCTGAATCATCTCCACTATTGTCAGTAAAGACCTTTAGATTTGGTAGCAAGGAGGAAATTGGCCAGCTTCCAGTCAGTCTTTGAAGATAGAAGGCATCACCATCCTCATCCCCTTCCTCTCTCTCACTTTCTTAATTTAATGATGCTGATTACCCTTCCTTTTTAAAATTCTCTTCTCCCTTGGTTGGTCAGATTCCAGTGCTCTTTCGGTCCTCATTTTAATTCTTCAACTGCTTGTCTCTTTGCCGATTCCTATTCTGTCCCTAAATATGGTGGTATCAAGAGAATAAAAGGTATACAGAAGAGGCAGGAACGTCAAAGAAGGTCTGAACTAAGCTTACAGATACATTTGAATGTAACATGAGCAAAGAAGGAAGGAGCTGGAGATAAAAAGAGATTCCAGGAAGGGAGAGGAAAGCATGGCAGCAAGTTCTTTCTGAAGTTTGCGAGTGACGTGATTGAGAGCCCAGGTATAAGGAAGGAGAGAGATACTCTGCCTAAAACAAGAGACAAATAGTATTCTTTCCAGATGTACCTACATTTTAAAAGGGGAATTTAGACAAATTAGATATGTTAACTTACAAAGTAATCTCTAATGGAAGGAGAAATTTGGGGACTGAAGATTCTCCCACTGTCTCTCAAATTGTACTACATTGGCATGTGCCGATGGTATTTTTCACAAGAGACCCACCATGTTGGCTAAAGTTCTTGAGTTGGTTTCACTTCTGTTGGAATTTAAAAGATGACGATGTCATTGAACTATGAGGGCATTTGCTAGTCTCAGCTTTTCAGGCCCACAGTTTTAAGGCTAAGCACTGGAATTCCACTTGTTACCAACCAGAGTAAAGGCAGACCTGCGTGGCTTAACGTTTACGTGCAGGAAGGAATCGGACAGAACAGGATAATTATTAACAATTGAGTTTATGGAGCGTGTAAGTTTTTGCATGTACAGAAGACAATTAGGCCCGGAGGTCTGGGAGTGATTTATTTGTGGTGATCAAAGTCATGGACGTGGGTGAGTTCCTCCTAGGAAGACAGTGGAGGGTGAGGCCACAAGAACCCCCAGGACAGTCCCTGGGGACGCCAGCACCTCTCTGTTCCTGGTGTCACCTTGGATCTCATTGTACCAAGGTCCACAATGAAGAACAGACCAAGGGCTTCTGGCCCCAAGTTGACTGGGCATTTGTCTGCACTAAGCAATAATTGAAGTCCCCGGGTGGTGCAGCTCCCATTATGATAATTTTAAGTCATGGTGATGATGTTGTTTTGACTTCTAGGAGTTCTGCTTCTGGCATGATGATGTTCCAGCTCCAATTCTGTCAAACTCTCCCTTAACATTTCTTCTGCATGTTTGCTATGAGCCACCTAAGCACCTGTCAAACCCCTCTCACCAATTCTGGGAGACAATTACAGTTGCCATTCTTATTTTTATAAAAGAGGAAATAGGCTTAGAGGAGCTGAGTGTCTGGCTCATGGGCTCTCAAATCCCATAGGGTAGGACCAGGATTCAAACTCATACAGTCTGGGTGTGACTCCAGAGCCCATGCCCAACTTCCCATAATGTGAGACGGAAACATTTTTGCCAGAAATATTGAGGGACTTCCTTTACCTAAATCGATATGGGCTTTGTGTGAATTATGGACATGTGAGAGTGTCGAACCATCTGGATCTAATGGAGATGTCAAAATAAAAGATAAAATTCAATATTTCTTTGAGTTGACTTCATCTATTCCTTCAAGGACAGGACTATTTCTAATGTAAACTTAGGATATATTGTGTTCTCCAAAGGGATTGGGACGAGGTGGTGAAGAATAAAAAAAGTCCTTAGTAATTTTGCTTTAAACAAATCTTTAAACTGATTAAAAAATGAAAGTACATTTGTCATGTATATTTTTTCATATATATATATATACACACAAAACCATTTTTTCAGAACTGTAAATTACTCGATCATTTATTGCCTTTGTCACCAGTTCTCATGAGGAACTCCCAACAATACCATAAGTATATACAGCCATCCAACTCTTTTTCTCTATCTCATCATTTTCCTGCCTTCTTGTTTTCTTTTTGCTTTACATTTATACCCCTTTGCTCTAAGTCCTTTGCCATTTCCGTGTTCACATCATCTGGCCAATTGCAATAGTTTTCAGAATCAACCTCCCTGTTTCTCTCCTCTGTCCCCTTCGATTTTTGATCTGGAGTCCATCTGCTGTAGTGATCTTCTTAAAGCACAATAATTGTGTCACTGCTTAGCTTAAAAACAAGCAAGCACACAAATCAAAAACAAAACCCCAAATAAAAAAACAAAAAAAACAAAAAAAACAATGGCTCTTTATTTTCCAAAGAGTAAAGTCTTATAAATTCCTAAACTTGGCCTTTACATCCTGTTCAGACTCAACTCCTTAACAGCCATCTCTCCATCTCAGACACTCCACTTACGAGCCAAACTGAAGTATGGCCTACTATTCCCCCAATGCGTCCTGCATTCATTCTCTTTTACAGCATGCCTTCCCCCGGATATAGTCTCCTGTTTAAAGCCCCCTGCCTCTCTCCACTCAGAATCAGTCTTTCTCCTGAGCACGGTGCTTCTGCAGAGACTAAGCCTCACTGTTTTGTGCTGTAACATTCGTGCTCATGTCTTTTTTTTTTTTCCACTCCAGGCCATAATTTCCTTGAAGATACGGATCCCACAGCATTTATTCTACTGCTTTATATCAAGTAGGAATTCAGTAACTGTTTATTAAATTAAGTGATTCTTTTCAGCAGAAAAGTGTCAGAGAGGCAGCAGCTGGTCATGTTCCTCCTAAGAGCTCCACATCGGCCCCTTGGTAGAAAACAGGAGACAGCCGCCTGGTCCTTCTCTGGGCTGTGGGAAGTCTCTGATCCAACTCTGTTCCGGGTGACCTTGGTCACTTCTCTGCTGGCCACTGTTCTTGGTGAGTGACGGGAAACAAGCTCAGATCAGCAACAAGCAATCGAGGTCGCCCACGCATTCACTTTTAAGACTCAAAAAGTGATGACTAAGCTTCTAGCAGACATCTAGCTTCATTAACAAAGAGTTTATTTGACCAGCTGGAATATGGAATAAAAAAACACGGCAATTCGCTTCATACATAAAAAAGGAAGTTTTCCATTTTTCCTTAGAATGTCTTCCCCAGGAATTTCCAAAAACCATCTGTCTCCCAACCATAACTTGAAACAATCTCTGTTATCCACCCGTCTGACTCAACAATTTTCACTGATTGTGGATTTATCCAGAATGGAGGGGTGAAGTGGATACGCCTACCAGCGTTCTTAAAAAGTAAATAAGCCCTGTACTTCATTCTTGCAAAAAAGCAGAATTAAGATTTTTGTGTCTAAAGGGCTCCAGGCTTCTTTCTCCATATGATCAAAAATCCAAAAGGTGTAAAAATTATAAATCTCAAGTGTTATTATTACCTGTCTCCCAGACCCACTTTCCCTTCCCCACGGCAACCAATTTTATGTAATATTATGTGTAATAAAATATTAATAATATGTTTCTGTTAAGGCAAACTCACAGGAACTTCTGGCTTTGCACAGATGCATCTGAGTCAATATGATAGGCTGATGACATTCATGTCTGTCATCCTTTTCAGATAAATGATCTCATATATAGTAAGAAGTGATTTAAAAATTCTACCTTTTATTATTATCATTTATCATTGTTGTTGTCATGGATCAGCAAACATATATTACTGATCACTCCCTGGATTCATTGAGCCCTTCATTCATTATTATTTTTTTCTTCATTAAAGGAGGAAAGAATGGTGCCTATTCTAAAAATGATACTCTTGAAAAATTAAGATGCTGCATCCCAGGATATAACTGGTGGTGTTTCTTGTCATTTTGGTGTCCAGGAGACTGTGGTCCTCCACCCATTTTACCATTTGCTTCTCTGGTAAACCAGCCAAATGAGACAGAGTTCAAAACTGGAAGTACTCTGAAATACACCTGCCGCCCTGGCTACACTAGGACCAGTTCAAATCAGATTGTTACCTGTAGACAGGGCCGATGGAGCTATGGTAGCTTCTGCGTCAGTAAGTAGTCAATGTTTATTTTTTTATTTGTGCTTTTCCTTTTTTTGTTCTTTTTTCTTTTTTTCACCCTTATATAATTGGAATATATTTGTGCTTTTTCTGTCTTTGGAAAGTTGTCTCAGAAACTGAACTTCCTGAATCTTTAGCCACTAAGAAACTACCTGGTTTGTCAATTCCTGATTTCAATGTACACACGTATGCCACAGGCACAGGTACCCTCCCTAATGTCTTCCTTGGGTCTCAGGTAGCCCTGTGGTACCTAGGATGCTATGAAGGGCAAGGCCTGAATCCTCAATTTACATCCCAGATATAGACCTCAGGACAAAAGACAAAGGTTGCCTGGAGAATACATTCCTCCCTGAATAGCCTAGAGGCAGAGCTGGGTGGGGCAGGGAAGAAGGTACCATACTGGGCTTGATTCTACCTCCTACTGTTATATTCGAGATTCACAGGGCCGCAGGACAGAGAGACAGAGCCACTGAGGCTGTAATTATCAAAAGGAGTTTTATTGTCTAGCTCTAGCTAGGGTCTGAGCCCCCAGAGTGCCAGCGCAGTGGCCTCTTCTTCGGGCAGGGACCCCCCTTTGTGTGCTAGTGACCCTTTTATAGCAAAGTTGTTTACACACTGGTCATGCATCCGCCCCCACAGTGATTCTTACTTTATCCTGCCCCTGATAGGCTCTAACCTGTTCCGGGTCCTACTGAGAGACTCCGGTTTCCGTGGTCTTTGTCTTTTTCCTCTGCATCCCAGAATGTACTCATAATGCCTTGCGGTTAGCAAACGAGCAAGTAAACAGAAGCTGGAAGGTGTCCATTGTCCTTATAGTCCAGTATCTTACACTAGCTGCTGATCTAGGTGCTGAGAACGTGTCCCTGGGCCTAACATGGCCACCTGTCCAGATCCCAGAATCCAGAGACTCAAAACCAAAAACATAAGCTCACAGTCAAATTTAGCAAGTCTCAAAAGTATTACAGTGGCAGCAAGGTCATGTTTATGACCTTAAAACATATAGACTTTAATAATTTTAAAACTAGTTTTGAGGCCGGGTGCGGTGGCTCACGCCTGTAATCCTAGCACTCTGGGAGGCCGAGGCGGGAGGATTGCTCAAGGTCAGGAGTTGGAAACCAGCCTGAGCAAGAGCGAGACCCCATCTCTACTATAAATAGAAAGAAATTAATTAGCCAACTAATATATATAGAAAAAATTAGCTGGGCATGGTGGTGCATGCCTGGAGTCCCAGCTACTTGGGAGGCTGAGGCAGGAGGATTGCTTGAGCCCAGGAGTTTGAGGTTTCTGTGAGCTAGGCTGATGCCACGGCATTCTAGCCTGGGCAACAGAGCGAGACTCTGTCTCAGAAAAAAAACAAAAAAAGTAGTTTTGTTTATCGAAGATTACTAAAGTCGCATGAACTAAAAGACATTTGAACTAGTTTCTATTTTCCTGATAATAGGTTTGATTGAAGGGCTTACTTTTCTTTGACCATTAATTAGAGCTCTTTTATATATTTAGGTAGTGAAATATCACATACACATGACACATAAACACATAGACATACAGACACAAAGACAGAAGCACATCTTATAGCTTTTATAAAGAATTTTCATTTGCTCTCCTTTAAATATTTTTCTTTTTCCCACTTAGATGATCAATCTTTCAATGACCAGTTTTATTGCCCTAAGCAATTATTAGCTAAGCTGCAATTTGCCTTTAAAAAAAGATGACTCTCAGGTGAAACAAGGTAAAAAAAATTTGTATCTCAGAAGCACAGAGCTAAGAATTTAGGCCTAAATATTGTACCACTATTTGCTTATAATAAGAAGAAAAAAAGTTGTTCCTAAAGGCCCAGTTAAAACAAGGCGGCCAGGAAAAGCACCTTAAACAAAGGCAAGGCTTGTTATGTAAATTTAAAACAAAGGCAACAGTTTTTAGCAACCCAGTCCTCTCCCTCAGTCACCCTTACAAATGGAAATTTCCTTTATAGATATAAATTTCTTTTCCAAAAGGGTTTCAAGATAGCCAATTAAATGCCAAGAAGGTGTATTTTAGGTAGGTGGTCTTTTTTTTTTTTTTTTTTTTTTAACTATAATACACATCCAGGAATGGTAGGTGGTCTTTTTAACACAGCTACTATTTCTTATCTAAAATTGCTGAGTTCAGGTTAGAGCCCATTAAGGAATGGGCAAGAAAAAAAGCATTCTCTATGCCTAAACTCAGCACAGATGGGTGTGAAAAAGAAGCAAGTCCAATTCACCTGAGGGCCTCCCTTTTGTAAACACTTTATCCAGATAGCTTTCTTTTTGTCTTTGGGGCCGAATAGTATTTAAGCCAAGAGGACAGCCGATTTAATTCTTCTAACAGTTAGTCATTTAAGCTTTTTATTTGTCTTTTGTAAAGAGACTTTTAAAAGAGAGAATAGCCAGGCGGTGGCTCATATTTACAATCCTAGCACTCTGGGTGGCCGAGGTATGGCCGATTTAAGTGGATCCTTTGAGCTTAGGAGTTTGAGACCAACCTGAGCAAGAGTGAGACCCTGTCTCTACTAAAACTAGAAAGAAATTAATTGGCCAATTAAAAATATATAGAAAAAATTAGCTGGGCATGGTGGCACATGCTTCTAGTCCCAGCTACTCAGGATACTGAGGCAGTAGGATTGCTTGAGCCCAGGAGTTTGAGGTTGCTGTGAGCTAGGCTGACGCCATGGCACTCTAGCCCGGGCAACAGAGTGAGACTCTGTCTCGAAAAAAATAAAATAAGATAAAAGAGAGAATAAAAATATTGGAATCTTTTTAGAAGCTTCCATAGATCAATGAGACCAAATTCAGGAGCCCTCATTTTCAACTGCACTTCTTAAAGTGTAGTGTTGTACATTTGGAACAGTTCCACTGTAATTTTAAGTTGCCTTTAATAAGATTTTGCCATTTCTGTAAGCATTTGCTGCTTCTGGGGCCTACTACTTAATACATGCATAGATAGGAGTAACCCGAAGGTAGAGTTCTCAGTTCTTCCGAAATTAAGAATCCCATTTTTACCTTGAATTGTCACTTTGGCTCTCACATCTCCATGATCAACTTAGCCAATGATTTGTGTGTGTGTGTGTGGGTAAGAAAAAGAAACAAAGAATAGAACACGAAAATCCCCTTGAATTCTTGAAAGCTGGAGTTTGCATCCCAGGGGATCTGCCATATTGCCATTTTTTGCCAGTTTTGATCTGACACAGTTGGACATCTGAGGCCTCTAACTGGATCCAAACCAGTTAATAACCGGATCTGATCCAATCCTGGACCCAGTCCAGTTTCTGTCATAACTTCTGAACGCAGTTCAGATAAAAAAAAAAAATGTGCTCCAACAAACTTGAAGGGCTCATAACACAGTTTGCGAAGCTTTGGGATCTGAGAGAGAACTCCTTAACCAGCCCCAGTTGCTGCAAAGAGAGCAATGGGCACGTTGGGCCTGGCGAGTACCACACTTGGTAGCTTAATGCTCCCAGTGGTTGCTGGAAGTTCTACTTCAGATCCCACTTTCTGACACCATCTATTAAAAGAAAAACCTTGGACAAATTACATTTAACAGATTTTTTTTTTTTTTTTTGAGACAGAGTCTCACTGTCTTGCCTCGACTAGAGTGCCGTGGCATCAGCCTCCCGTGTAGCTGGGACTACAGGCATGCGCCATCATGCCTGGCTAATTTTTTTCTATTTTTATAGAGACGGGGTCTTGCTCTTGCTCTTGCTCAGGCTGGTCTCCAACTCCTGAACTCAAGCAATCCTCCTGCCTCAGCCTCCCAGTGTGCTGGGATTATAGGCGTGAGCCACCGCGCCCGGCCCATTCAACAGAATTTAATTGAACAAAGAATGATGTTCGAATTGGGGCAGCTTTCAGAAAGAACAAGTTCAGAGAGACTCCAAGTGCTGCCATGTGACTAAAGATTTATGGACCGAAAAAGGAAAATGATTGTAGAAAATGGAAGTGAGGTACAGAAACAGTTGGACTAGTTAACAGCTCAGTGTTTGTCTTATTTGAACGCGGTCCGAACAGTTGGCCCCTTTTGATTAGCCAAAACTGGGTGATTGCCACAAGAGTAGGTTCCAGCCTGTTTACACATCCAGTTAAGTTACAGTTCACCATGTACAAGAGAAACCTTTAGGCCTAACTTCAAATACGTAAGGAGGCAGGTTTAGGCTAAACTTAATTTAATATGATGCCATATCTGTGAGTGCTTGGGTCCCTAATCATCATTTCATTTTTTTTCTCCCAGAGAAACGGTGCAGAAACCCAGGAGATTTACCCCATGGGAACGTGCAAGTGAAGACAGATTTCTATTTTGGATCACAAATCGAATTCAGCTGTTTAGAAGGGTGAGTGTGAGGTAATCTGGAAACAATTCTTTTAAGTCAATTTTTAAAGTAGCGAATGTGTTCATATATTTCAAAATTTAAAATTGATGTAAAAAGACAGACAGTGAGGATTCTCGCTTCCATCCTGTCTCCATTCGCCCCATTCTTTCCCGTCCTCCAGCAAGGATCCATTTTTTATTGGTTTCCTATGTGTCTTTCTAGTGTTTCCTTATACAAATACAAGCTAAGCAATTAGCAAATATTCTTATTTTCTTTCTTTCCAATAACAAGTGTAGTTTTGAATCTTGCTTTGTTGTTTACTTATCAATATATATTTGGAGATGTTTCCCTTTTTGTACATAGAGAGCTTCCTCATTAATTTCCTTTTGCAACTGCATAGAATTTTATGTGTCATGCCCTTTTTTTCTTTTTTTTGAGACAGAGTCTCACTCTGTTGCCCGGGCTAGAGTGCCATGGCATCAGCCTAGCTCACAGCAACCTACAACTCCTGAGCTCAAGCAATCCTCTGCCTCAGCCTCCCAAGTAGCTGGGACTACAGGTATGCCCCATCATGCCTGGCTAATTTTTTCTATATATTTTTAGTTGGCCAATTAATTTCTATTTTTAGTAGAGACAGGGTCTTGATCTTGCTCAGGCTGGTTTCGAACTCCTGACCTTGAGCGATCCGCCCGCTTCGGCCTCCCAGAGTGCTAGGATTACAGGCGTGAGCCACTGCGCCCGGTCTATTTCTGGACTTTCTATTCAGTGTCAATGTCATTGTTTTGTCTATATATTCATGTACAAGTTTCCCAATTGTTTAATTATCAAGGACTTAATAATACATTTTAATAGCCAATAGAGGTAGTCTTACCTATTGCTTATCCTTTTCAAAGTTTTCCTGACAATACTTATTTATTTTTCTATATAAACTTTAAAGTTAGGCATATTTTTATTTTTTTTTTATTTTATTTATTTATTTTTTTTGAGACAGAGTCTCACTTTGTTGCCCAGGCTAGAGTGAGTGCCGTGGCGTCAGCCCGGCTCACAGCAACCTCAATCTCCGGGGCTCAGTGATCCTCCTGCCTCAGCCTCCCGAGTAGCTGGGACTACAGGCATGCGCCACGATGCCCGGCTAATTTTTTGTATATATATTTTTAGTTGGTCAATTAATTTATTTCTATTTTTGGTAGAGACGGGGTCTCACTCAGGCTGGTTTCGAACTCCTGACCTTGAGCAATCCGCCCGCCTCGGCCTCCCAAAGTGCTAGGATTACAGGCGTGAGCCACCACGCCCGGCCGAAAGTTAGGCATATTTTTAAATCAGTGGTGGATTGTTTTTAACTTACTTTTAGAAGAATAGATATTTTATGATGTTGAGTCTCTGTGGGTACAAACACGTATGTTGCTGTAGGGAAGGTGAATCTTTTCCTCTGCCCCCTGAACGTCTCTCCTGGGCCTGAGAATGAAGTTGACATACAACAGAATAACAGGAGAAAAGCATACAGATTTTATTTTTACATGCACATAGGAGCCTTTTCAGGAGAGTGTAGTCCTAAACAGTGGTTGGGCTTACATACTTGTTGAACAAAGAGTAGTAATTGTGAAAAAGTAACTAAAGTATTTGGAAAGGCTAAAGAAAGATAAGGATTATTTTAACAAAGTTTTTTTGTACATTTTTTTTTTTTCTTGACTTTGACTCCCTGTCTCTAGTGGTAAGAATGTTTTTTTTTTTTCCTTCTGGTACAGGGAGGTATCTTCTCATGTGGGAGTTTTATCTCCTGCTTTCGGGAAGAAAATGGGAGTTCGTTGTGCCGTTCTTACGTCTTGCTGCTTTTCAAGTGTGTTGAACTCAAAACAATCCTTATGCTGAAGTGTCATATTTCGGCATATTCTTCTACCCTGTCTTATGCTTCCCCATTCATCTTAGTGTTTTTTCTACTTTCTTCAGGAGTGTTTCAATGTTTTCCTTGCATTGATTTTGCATTTCTTGAAGAGTTCAAACCTAGGTATTTTATTTTTGCTACTTTAAAGGTTTGTTTTTTTCCCCATTATGTAGTCTAAATGGTTGATTATCTATCTACCTAATCTGTCTTTCTATCTACCTACTTACTATTGATTTCTGCATGTTTGATATCTCAGGTAACTTTCTAAATTCATTCATTCTTTGTAATAGTCTTTCAGTTGAATTCTCTTAGGATTCTTGCCACCTAAGCCAAGTATATGGACATCAGTGGGAGGCTTCCAAGCAGAGATCATGAGAGTTTGGGGTCAGTAATCTAGCTGCTACTCTCAACCAAAGAAAATTGCAGAACACACTGAAGTGAGTCTTCTATTGTCCTACGTGAGCTCTGGATGAACTGCATGCCTGACACCTAGTAGATGCTCAATAATAGACTAAAGAATGAAAGAACAAATGAACAAACACACCTCATTGCAGTGATGAAATTTTACTAAATGGAGTGCTCAAAGGGATGTGACATTATTTATTCATTTTGACATTGAATAAAAATTCTATCTGTTCAGATCCCCTTTTTCCATTTTAATTTGGGGTAGGAAGAATTCCATTAAAATCTTTGATTCTCTCTTGTTCAGATATAACTTAATTGGCTCAGCCACTAGTCATTGTGAGGTCCGAGATAAGGGAGTTGACTGGAGTGACCCTTTCCCACAGTGTGAAAGTAAGTAAAGATTTCTTCTGACTTGACTGTAAACTTAAACTATGCTAGGTTATAAAGTCCCTGTGCATCTTTGCCTCTATGTGTACTCTCCATTAGAATTGGCATGAATTTTTAGATCTGTGATAACGCCTGCCCTGAATATTTCCTTCTCTTCACTCACTCATATCAGTTGTCAAGTGTGAGTCCCCTCCAGACATCAGCAATGGGAAGCACAGTGGTGGAAAAGAAGACAGCTACACATATGGCTCCTCTGTCACCTACAGCTGTGACCGCCGCTTCTCGCTCATAGGCCAGGCCTCCATTTCCTGCACGGTGGAGAATAAAACCATAGGTGTCTGGAGCCCCAGCCCTCCTACCTGCGAACGTAAGTCATAAGGATGGATTCTCCTTTAAGTTGTTTGTTCTCCTTTGTTTAAAAGAAGAATAAAGAATAATTTATTGGGAAAATGGAACAATTCAAAGACTAATTATTACCCCGATGCAATCATTTATTTGGCCAGCTGATACTTACTGCATGCTGTTTTTAGAATATAGTAACAAACAGCACCCCTATCTCACTGGTTCGGTGAAGTTCATTCTCATTCATACCGAGTGTGTTGTGTGCCCCAGAGATTCTCCAGAGCAGCTGTGGTCTGTGTGTTAGCTTAGCAACCTGCTCGGCAATCCAGGTTGCTTTGATCTTATGTTACCTCCTTATTAAAATGTGGTTCACAATCTCTTCAGTAGAGGAAGAGAGAAAGGCAAGTATATGTGACCACATACCACTTTCCATTGCAGCCTTTTATCTAGAACCAGAGGGAAGCCTCAGAGGACTGGGGAATGTAGTCCTTTGTTTGTTCAGGAAGTGGAACTGGAACTATCGGTTAGCACTTGTCGTGTCAATCATATATGCCTATAGTGCAAGCGAAACCTACTAAACACCAGAAGGCCAAAAGGACAAAGCAAGCAAAAATTAAGCCAGAAGATATATTCTGGTATTGTTATTTTGCTAATCTAAGGCATCTTGCTTTGATACTAAATTCACACAGTATCACTTACTCTTCTGACTTACAGCAGAACATAATCAAACCAGGGGCACAAAAGGACATGACACTGCAAAGAGTGCAAAGTGCTTGGAGTCAGGTCTGCAAGAAGTGGAAAGGGCAGGAGCTGAGGCTGGAAAAGTTAGCATGGGCCAGGTTATGAAGGGCCTTGTATGCCACTCTCAGGAGTTCATAACAAAGGTTCATTGAAAGGCTAGGGGAGTACCATGTTTCCCTGAAAATAAGACAGGGTCTTATATTTATTTTTCCTCAAGAAGACACCCTAGGGCTTATTTTCAGGGCATGTGTTATTTTTTTTACGTACGGTACAACAATCTACATGTATTCAAATATAGTGAAGTCGTCTTCTGATCATCATAACTCTCCAAACCCCCAATTCCATCCTGAATTTCTTGAGACTCTGTTTCCTTTAGAACCATTGGCCCCAATCTCTCATGTCAAGCAATAGAGCTCTCATGGGGCAGATGAGAAGGGCTGCTCATCTTCTTTCCCACTCCAAGACGAAATGCATGGGTTGTGCAGATGCGCTGCGCAGCCACCGCCTATCACTAGGTCTTATTTTCGGGGTAGGGCTACTATTGCACAAATGCTTAGAAATCCTGCTAGGGCTTATTTGATGGGTAGGTCTTATTTGGGGGGAAACACGGTAAATGTGCTGCATCTTAGAAAGATAAATCTGGCTGCAGGATGGACAACAATCTGAAGAGAGATAAAACTTAACCAATAGGCACCTGCTATGTATGGTCTGAATACTGTGTCCCTCCAAATTTGTGTTAGAATTCGGACCCAATGTGATACTTTCAATAGGCGGCGGGGCCTTTTGTGAAGTGATTAAGTCATGAGGGATCCACCCGCATGAATTGGATTAGTGCTCTTATAAAAGAGGTTGAAAGGAGAGCCCTGGTCTTTCTTGCCCTTCTACTTTGTGAGAACACGGTATTCCATCCATTCCTCCATGTAAGGACACAGCAAGGAGGCGCCATCTTGGAAGTAGAGAGCAAGCCCTCACCAGACACCGGTTCTGCTGGTGCCTAGATCTTGGACTTCTCAACCTCTGAAACTGTGAGAAAAAAAATTTCAATTATTTATAAACTACCCAGCTAAGTTATTTTGTTATAGCTGTAGACATAGACTAAGACAGCACCTTTGCAACCCTCCAACCAAGTAGTAAAGGTCGTGTTAACTGTAGTTATGGTAGTGGGCTTGGAGAGAAGTTGAAGGATTATAGACCAACTAAGGTGGTAGGATTGACAAGTCTTGATGACTGACTATGTGGGGAAGGGGGTGAGGGCAGTTTGTTCTCTCCCTGTCGGGGTACAGGTCTCTGACATCCTGGCTGCCTTTGCATGACACCATATTGTTACGATGGGCCACTGACCCACAACCAAAATCATCCAGGAAATTTGGCCCTTATATTGGAAGTTCTGGGTGCCTTGGAGGTAACTGTTTCTCCTGGGTTATATATGACTGGTTTTTATTGGTAGTGTAGTTGGAGGAGTTATCCATAATCATCTCATACAAGGACCAACATGATGGGGACTCATTTTGCTGAGGTTTTTAGAAACTGAAATTATATATATATATATATACAGACACATATATAATACACATATATATTATATATTATGCAATATATACAATATATATTATATATACAAATTATATATGTATGTATATACATATATATAGATTTAAGTATACAGTTTATTTTTAATTTTTAATTTTTCTCATTTATTTTTTATTTATATATTAACATGGGGTACAAGTGAAATTTTGCGACATTGATATATTGCATTGTAATGAAGTCAGGGCCTTCAGGGCATTCATCGGAGCAATGCACATTATACCCACCAACCAACCTCTCATCATCCACCCCCATGCCCCTCCAAATCTCCACTGTCCATCATTCCACACTCTGCTTCCTTGTGTACACAGTATTTATAAGTGGGAGTACTTGTAAGCGAGAACATGTGATGTTTGTCTTTCTGTGTCTGAGTTGTTTTACTTAAAATAATGGCCTCCAGTTCCATCCATGTTGCTGCAAAAGACATGATTTCATTCTTTTTTATAGCTGAATAGTATTCCACTATGTATATATACCATATCTTCTTTATCTAATCTTCAGTTGATTAGCACTTAGGTTGATTCTATATCTTTGCTACTATGAATAGTGCTGCAATAAACATCTGAGTGCAAGTATCTTTTTTATATGATTTCTTTTCCTTTGGGTAGATACTCAGAAGTAGAATTACTGGATCATATGGTAGTTCTATTTTTAGTTCTTTGAGAAATCTCCATATTATTTTTCATAGAGGCTGTACTAATTTGCATTCTCACCAACAGTGTGGTGTGTAAGAGTTCCCTTTTCTCTGCATCCTTGCCAACATCTTTTTTTTTTTTGTCTTTTTAATAATAGCCATTCTATTGGTATAAGATGATATCTCATTGTGGTTTTAATTTGCATTTCTCTGATGATTAGTGATATTGAACATTTTTTTCATATGCTTGTTGGGTGTTTGTTTGTCTTCTTTTAAAAAGGTCTATTCATGTCCTTAGCCTATTTTTTAATGGGGTTAATTGTTTTGTCATTGTTGTTGAGTTGTTTGAGTTCCTTGCTGATTCTGGATATTAGTTCCCTGTTAGACGTATAGTTTGCAACATTTTTCCCATTCTGCAGGTTGTCTACTCACTCTGTTGATTATTTATTTTGCTGTGCAGAAGCCTTGTAGCTTAAGTTACATTTGTTTATTTTTATTTCTATTGTCTGTACTTTTGAGTTCTTAGTCATAAATTCTTTGTCTACACCAATGTCCAGAAGAGTTTTCCGTAGGTTTTCTTCTATATTTTTATAGTTTCAGGTCCTACATTCAAGTCATTAATCCATCCTGTGTTGATTTTTTAAAAGGGTGAGAGATATGGGTCTAATTTCATTCTTCAGATGGCAGTCCAATTTTCCCAGCATCATTTATTGAAAAAAGTGTCCTTTTCCCAATGTATGTTTTTGTCAAAATTTTCAAAGATCAGTTGGCTGTAGGTATATCACTTTGTTTCTGTATTCTCTCTATATATTCACTTTAAAATGTTTTCACTATATCTACTTAACATGTACTTATATCAGGTGTTTGTGTTATAATTAGATTAGCAGTAGCAGTAATTTCATCGTCATTTCTTTTTTAAAATTCACTTGTCTTTTCTTATGATTCTTTAGAAATCAATTGTCCTCAGCCAAATGTGCCACATGGAAGTATTATCTCTGGATTTGGACCCATCTATTCTTATAAAGACACTATTGTGTTTAACTGCCAGAAAGGTTTTATTCTCCAAGGCAGCAGTTTAATACATTGTGAAGCTGACAAAAAGTGGGATCCTCCTCCTCCTACTTGTGAGCCCAGTAAGTATGGACCATGAAGGAATTTCAGTGTTTGGCATCTAAAGGTAACCAGAAATGTTTGTGTGGGTATACTTACATACCTAGGCCCACTTTGAATTACGGTAAAAATTTAACTTTAGATCAATAATTTCCTTTTCCTGTTGAATAGAAGAATGATTTCAGTTCTTGTACAAGGTCACATATCAGTAAAAATGGCTGCTACATACAGTTGTGCAGGTTGTGCACACTCTAACCTTAAAGGGAAGCATTGACATTGTAGACATTGTGGATTAGTATATTTATTTCAACAATTTTCTGCTAGTTGATAGAAAATTGTCTTATTCTAACAAAATCATCATATTATAATAATTATTTTGAAAGGTAAATAACAAAATGTCCTGAGGAAAAATGCCTTCTTCTAACTTGCACAAAAATATTGTATGGACCAGCTATGATTCTGACACTCTGTGGTCATAAACTCATGTGGATTATTATTAATAAAAATAATGATAATCATAATTATGATAATTTAACCTTGACTAGGTACATAACAAGAATTGACTCAGTGAATCCTCCTACTGATTATAGACACTATTATTATCCTCATTTTACAGATGAGGAAATTGTTCACAAAGGTTAAATGACTTGCCCAAGATCATCCAACTGGTAAGGGGAGGAAGCCATTTATGCCTTGTTCTCTTACGTTTGCCCTTTTGAAATGTCAAGAACTATATCCTGGGAACATCTGGAACAGTGATATGAGGAGTTTAAGGAGAACTTTCACTGTAAAGGTGTCTAATGAGCTGGTCAAAATCAACAATGAAAACCATTCAAGGTCTCTGGAGATTGATCAAAGTGCTTACAGCAAATTGAGACGCATTTATTCACCATATATAGGGTGACTTGTTATGAACACTGGGAGGCCATTGCATTAGAGCTAGAGATTGCATACAGCCCCCAACAGCTCTACCATGTGGGAAAACTGTTTCTGTGGGGTTTACAAGTGACACTTCCCATCTTCCCCAGCTCCTTGGCATGTAAAATGTATGTGGGGTAGATTTGGCAACCAGTGAACATTAAGTGATAGCATTTTCCAAAACTCTATGCTGTCGAAGACCTATATTGGATTGGTGGCAGCTGCCAAATTTCAGTGTTTGCTCCTCCACCCCAATTCCCATTATATAGAAAGGATCTGGGTGGGAAAGTGGTAAAGAATTTGGTCCTCCTTTCCTGCATGGCTTATGTTGCAGGAGAGCTGTTCCAGTGGGCTCAGTAGCAAAGTGACATCTCCTATCCTCCCCAGCTTCCTGGAATGGAAGAACTTTGTGGGTAGATTTGACAGCTTGTGAATATTGGCAGATCTTATTCTCCCAGCTTGGTCTTTGGAATATGTATACTTGGTGGTGGGCAGTACCAGTTCCTACTGCCCCCCTCATTCCCCTCTCCATAGCTCCTACATCATAGGAAGGACTCTGGTGAGGCATCTGGTGAAGAATGAGTTCCCTGATTTCCCCCAGCTCCTGATCCACAGGACAGAAGTTTTTCCAGGGAAGATAGGGAGAAAGCTTCAAAGACTGTCAACACCCTGCCCCTGCCAAGGAGCCCAACTTCAACTGGATCAGAGACTGTGAGGCAATTTATGCCCTATTGAATTATTTAAAAAGAATGGAGAAATCAGTTAACAATTACTGGAGTCTAACAATTGTATGTAATACCCACAAAGGCAGACCAGCCAAGAGCCTCATGGAAAAGAGACAGTCAAAGAGAAAACCACCAACATCCTTGGTGGTTTGGAAGACTGTGCATGCATGCCCAAGGCTGTGCTCTCAGAGGCATGCTATCAGATGTTGCACACTTTGGTGGAAATACACTCAACTGGAATAGTCTGGTCAAGTCATTAACTAATAAGAGAACAAAGAAACAACAATGGGCCCCAAAGGCGTTGAGGGAAAAATCAGTGTCCATAGTCGCCACAAGATATTATCTAACATGTCAAATTTTCAACACAAAATGATCAGACACGTAAAGAAGCAGGGAAAAGTGACCCATACGACGAGAAAGAGCCAACAATAAGCTGAATGAACACAAGACGCCCTTTGCTAGGACAGGCTCGTTGATTGCTGTGGCAGTCCTAGTAACAGTGTCCTTTTTACTTGTCCTTCTTTTTATGCATAGATAGTTGTACTGACTTACCAGATATTCCACATGCTTCCTGGGATGGCTATCCTAAGCCAACAAAAGACCAACTGCATGATGTTGGGACTGTGTTAAAATACCACTGTCTTCCTGGCTACAAACCCGCCGTGGATGAGCCTACAACTGTGACTTGTCAAAAGAATCTGAGTTGGACCCCCTACAAAGGGTGTAAGGGTGAGTTTTTATGTTTTTTAATATGTTTGTATATTAAATGTCCAGTATGTGCTAGGATTCTCCACCTTAAATGTATGTCATTTTATCCTTCAAAATAAATTTAGAATTGTATTAATGCAACACAACAGTGTAGTGTTATCGTCAGAAGGGACCATAAACTTAGAATTTGAGGTGCCGAGAAATTGTTACCTTTCCGCATCCCAGATCAGAATGCAATGAGAAATAGACTCAGAAGGCAAGTAGCATGCAGATTAAGTATTAGCTTCCCTGCTGGGAAAACTAGAACAGAGAATACAGCTCAGCTATTGCTGCGATCAGACTTCCTTCACAGCCCGTACCTCCCCGCTGTAGACTTTGGGGTTCTGGGCCCCAAAAGTCTGTGAAACAGTCATGAATGATCACAGCCAGCTGCAAGGTGACTTGTGTCTCATGCCTCTTGAGCCAGGAGATGGCAGGTTGACAGTGTTGGGTCTACTTACCTGCCTCTGAAAGACAGACCCTGACTCCTAACCCCAGAAAGGACAGTTTCTTCAGTTTCACGTCCTCTGGTCATGGGAATGAATGAGGAGCTGTAGGGCAAGTGGATGCTATTTTATGGGCCTCAGTAGATTTGACAAGAAAGGAAGAAAATGCTTCCTTCTACTTGTCTATCAGAACCTTGCCATTTTAGAGGTGAAGACACTAACACCCAGAATACAGGGAATTTGCTGCTACAGATCAGGATTTGGAAAATGTGTGAAATGCACAAATAATGAAAAGTGATAGTTTAGATCAACTTACCAGGAGATTACTTAACAAAGGTTAATTGCAACGATTCAGACTCCTTTTGGGGAAATAGAATGAAAGATTTTCAATAAAAGGACTAAATTAAAAATATATTTAACAAAACATATCGCCACCACCTAAATAACAAAGTATTACTTATAGATGCTTAGAAACCTACACTCTTGGTTGTATTTATTTTACCCATTATGGTCTTATTGATTTAATTACTTAATAAAGCACATCTGTAACTATTTAAAAAGCAGAAGTGAAATGGTATTTTTCCAAGTTATGAAATCTGATCAAATATAAATTTAGACTCACGACTTAACATATTTAAAAATGTTCTGCACTGCAAAGCATCACATAAATATTGTTGTTGTTAGAATATAGGAACCATATGAATGTTGGGCATTTTTATTGTAATTCATAAACAAATGAGCACTGAAAGCATTGGAGCATGCCTCAAAGACCCCATTGTAGTGCTGGCCAAGCTCCTGGTGTGGAAAACAGAGCATATTATTCTGTTCTGATGTTTTCTCTTATACCAGGCAATATCAGGTTCTATCTTAAAGTATTTGTACCTAATGAATGAAAAATTATATCCGTATATCAGCCCCAACTGTATTAAAAGTGAAAGAATTTAAAGAGCTCTTTCTGTTACATTTTGCATCAAGAAAGAAAAGTTCTTGCCCTAACCAGTAATTTAAATTTATTTCTATGCAGTAGCTTTCAGGTGGAAATAAACTTTTGAGAACTTTCTTCTTCCTTGTCACATGCGAAGTGTAAGTTAACAGAGAACCTAATAATGACGCAACCCTAATACAACTATAAGTTTATGAATGTGATTTGTCATTGCTCTTGAAAATTTTTGAAAATTGACCTTTTCATACGGCTTTAATATGCCTTTTCATTTTGGAGGCTACCGATGAAATTGCTGAGTTGGAGGGAAACGACTGGATCAGAGTTTTTTTTAGCAAATCAAGAACAGGGAGAGCAGACTTGAAGTGTTTTGAGTCTCTTTTCCTGTTTCCCCAGCCCCTCTTCAGTGGTGAGGTCTTCCAAGCGTGGAAATAGCCGTAGGAGCCTCCTCAGGGTGATTTTACTAACCAGTAGCTTCACTTTTTATTTTATTTATTTTTATTATGTATTTATTTTTAAGCAGTAGAATTTTTTTTATTCTCCAAGAAAATCTTAGGAGGAAGCTGTTAATGTAAACAGAGGGAAGCAGGGCTGGTCTATTCTGAAGAGGGTGGGGGACCTGGAGCCCCCTCCCACCCCCAGACTCCAAGCTCCTCCAAGGAAGTACCTGAAAAACCCACATTCCTCTTCGTGGTCTGCCCTCCCTCCAAGAAGTGTTAAAGATTTTTTGCATTATGCCCCCTCCCACCCCCCCTTCTATTTTAATAAAAGCACTAAATTAAAAATATATTTAACAAAACATATCGCCACCACCTAAATAACAAAGTATTGCTTATAGCTGCTTAGAAACCTACACTCTTGGTTATATTTATTTTACCCATTATGGTCTTATTGATTTAATTACTTAATAAAGCACATCTGTAAAAATGTGCTTTAAAAATAGAAGAGTTCTATTCTTCTAAATATAGAAGTATATTGATACTATATAATAATAAAATATATAAATAATAAAATATGTAAATATTCTTCTAAATATCACTCTTCTAAAAATAGAAGAGTAATCTATTTTTTTATTTTTTTAGAGTTATGTTGCCCCATACCACAGCTAAAGAATGGTGAAATCACTCAACAAAGAAAATATCGTCACGCCAATAACTGCACGTATTTCTATGGAGACCAGCTTTCATATTCATGTCCTGGGTTCTCAAGACTTTCAGTTACATGCCAGTCAGATGGCACATGGAGTCCCCGTACACCATCCTGCGGTGACAGTAAGAGCTCATAGAATTATATTATGTTGGGAGCTTCTTCTTATCACTGTGATGGGGATTATTAAGAATGTTTAAAATTAGGTTAAAAAAATTGATATACCCTGCATGATTCTTGGAGTAGATCCAACTCTCTCTTTTTCCCTCCTACTGTTTGTTCCCATTCTTTTTGACCTTCCCAGTTTCCTCTTCTTTTTTGAATAAGATCACATCTAATAGATAAGCTGAACTTTTCAATTACTGTGTTTTGTTTCTTTGGATTTACTCTCTTTTCCTCACTTATTTCTGATGCATCTGTCTTAATCTGCAGAACAAGACCCGTCCAAATCTATTTGAATTTGCCTTTCTGAACTGCTTCTTCCTGCTGCCTCTGAGTCTTCTAGTCAGACCGTCGCCCCATGTGAAATTCCTCCCTCTCCCCTACCAAGAGGCTCCAGTGCTAAACACATGCCTCCCTTTCCCCCTTTGTGTTTGATTGCCCCATCTATTGATGGTCAGGACCCATTCCCCTGCCAAGATAATGGTTTCTCTTATTGTCTTGTGGCCAGGAAGACCAAAGGAGCCCAAAGTGGCCAGGCATTAGTTGCAGCTTATAAATTAATAGGAAAACCCCTATCTCCCCTGGTAGAAATGTTTCCACTTTGCCAACCAGGACTTTTAAACCTACAGATTCCAGAGTTTCAGGCACGAGAAGCACAAACTCCCCAAATCACTTAACCGTGATGGTCATTGGGGCCACTCATGCTTCCATCTCCTGGTTCCTGGATCCATGCATTTATTTTATTGGGGACCCAGAGCCATACAAAGGTGGATATTTGATTCAAAGTAGATACTGCTTCCTGGAAGATAGTGTCCCGTCATTGTCAAGCATCGGCTCCCGGCTGGTACTTCCACTGTGCCTTTCCCTGGCCATTCCAATGTTCCCACAGGTCAGCAGGTTCAGGTGATGCATTATGTAATCTAAGTAGTGGACTCCACGACTGTGGTCACTTCTTTTTGCCATGTCTGGGTCTTCTGGTTGGATGTGGTGGATCCTACGCCAATTATTCAAACACTCTGTAATCCTTCAGATAACAGTGCTAAGTGAGGTCCTGCAGGCAGGAAAAGCAAATCCATACCTGCAATATTTGCCTATTTCTATCAGAATAAATTGTTCTTCCTTCCATGGTAGAAGGGGTCCACTACAATCAACCTGCTTGCAAATGGCTTTTTGGGTGCCTCAAGGGGTGGTGCCATATTAGAGATTTAGCATTGTTGCTGGCAGGTTGGAAATTCAGTGACAACAATTAACTTTGGTGTGTGTGTGGGGGGTCCATGCCATTGGGCCCATGCTTATCTTCCATTCATGCTACTATGACCACTTTGCTTCTCTTCCTTTTATGGTGGCATCAGTGAGACCAATGACAGAGAATTGCTGATTTCGACTGGCTGAGACATTCTTTTCTACTTGGTTGTTCAGTGCCTCTTCTGTGGGGGATGCTCTGGTGAAAACACACAAAATAAAAATCTTCATACTTCCTGCCCATTCTCTATTTACTGGCTTCCAACCTAGATCTCCTTGTGCCAAGTCTTCCAGTCCCACCTGTGCCATCTTGTCCTGCTCATGCTCAATCCCAGATGCACCACTTCCTCCTGATAATGGTTGGTTGCCTGCCTGACCTTGTAACCTACTTGATGGGTCTGACAGACCCAGCTCATGATGAGTACTTCTGGCTGTGTGGTCACTCGATGACCCAAGGTCAGGAGCTTTGTCTCTATCGGGACCAAGCCACATGGCAGGAGTTATATTTCAAAAAGCACACAATTCTCTGCTGCAGTGTGTGGCCTTAGCTTCAGGATCTCAAGGATCTGTGGTATAACTGTCCCATTGACATTTGCATCCTTTTTTTAACCACAGTCACCCCCAATACACTAGTCTCTCTAGGGTCCTGAGGCCCAAGAAACAGGGATGATGTCACTGCAGAGCTCTTTCCTAACACGGGCCTCACTCAAACCTGTCAATCTTTCGTTGGAGCACTATTCCCAAGAATGGATTATGCTGCCTCCTAGAATCTGAAAAGCACTACTAGGTGCTGGGCTTCCTTCTTCATGGTAGGATATGCAATTTATAGTAATTTGACTTTAGTTTGGAAGGGATATCCTAGTGTTCTTGAACCCTGCACCTCTAAAAGTTTTATTGGCATGGCAAATCCCTGAATCTTTATCTTCTATAATCTGGAGCATCATCATGATAGCTACTTCTTGCTCATTTAGTAGAATTAACATGATGCCATTGAAATATTGAATTAATGTGATTTTCTGTGGATATCCAGATGGCCAAGATGTCTTCAGACTCTATGATGACAGGGGCAGGAGGGTTACCATAGCCCAGGGAAAAAACTGCAACTGTATGCTCTTGACTGTTTCTGATCCTCTTTTCTGATAGAGATGGAAAAGGAGGCCTTTACAAAATCAGTACTTGAAGCTACATTAATCTACTTTAGCAAAGAAACCACATTTGGTACAGTGGCTGCAATAGGGGCTAAAATGCTGTTGCGTTTTTAATAGTGCCCTGTAATTCTTCAGAGCTCGTCTAACTTTTGTAGTATACAGACAGGTGAATTTAATGGAGTTATGATAGGGGTGACCATTCTTATATCTTTAGCTGTTTAAGAAATTAGTGCCACTAATTTCCCCAGTTTTCCTCTCCTACTCCTAAAGATATAAAATTATATTTATTTATTTAGAGACAGAGTCTCGCTTTGTTGCCCAGGCTAGAGTGAGTGCCATGGCGTCAGCCTAGCTCACAGCAACCTCAAACTCCTGGGCTCAAGCGATCCTCCTGCCTCAGCCTCCTGAGTAGCTGGGACTACAGGCATGCACCACCATGCCCGGCTAATTTTTTCTCTATATATTAGTTGGCCAATTAATTTATTTCTATTTATAGTAGAGACGGGGTCTCGCCCTTGCTCAGGCTGGTTTCAAACTCCTGACCTTAAGCGATTCTCCCGCCTCAGCCTCCCAGAATGCTAGGATTACAAGCGTGAGCCACTGTGGCCGGCCATAAAATTGTATTTTAAAAAAATTCTACTTTCTTTGCTTTGGGGAGGGGTTGAGGTGGGTAGGCACTATCAGTTGTTTCTTCTTGGCTTTCTTGCATGTGATAGTTCTTACCCCATGGGCCAAGGACTTGATATGGGGGTTGGGCCAATTACCAATTTTGTCTATTCTGATTACACTTTCCAGGATAATGTAAATGACCACCAAGTGGTGTAATAGGAGAGCCATGATGGTTCCAGGTATCAACGTCAACTACAGCCCTGTGTCTAGTAATGCTTGGATTACTGTACACGTTTTATAGTGCACAGCTACCTACATAAAAGAACACAGGTCCTCTTAGAGGACTGGGGGACTCATTAATGTACACACTTTCCAGGGTTCTGTAGCATCTTCACTACTGGGAACTAGATTCATCTTCAGTCAGTGATCATGAGGCCTGAAAACTGGCCCAGGTCCAGGCACTGAGCAATGGATTGTGACTTTTTATTGGGCCAAATACCATCAGCCCCTTGATCATCCATCCTCCATTTCTTTTGATGGTACAAATAAAGTAGTATCCTTGTTGGGCTGCTCATCTATTTTCACCCCTAAGAATGCCATGGTCTATTAATCTTCTTAACTCTCAGGCACTCCTGGTTGCCTCTCTGTCCTTGCAATTCATTATAATGCTTACATTCGCCTAGCTTCTCTCTTCTTTTTTTTTTTAATGTTAAGTTTAACTTAATTTTTTATTATTCTAGAGACAGAGTCTTGCTCTCTCACCCAGACTGGGTGCAGTGGTATGATCACAGCTCACAGCAGCCTTAAACTCCCGGGTTCAAGCGATCCTCCTGCCTCAGCCTCCCGAGAAGCTGGGGCTACAGGCACATGCCACCATGCCCGGCTAATTTGTCTTATTTTTTGTAGATTGGTCTCCAAATCCCTCAGGGCTTGGTCTCTGCCAAAATATTGCTCTTTCATGTTCTACTTCACAACTTCTTCCCATAGTATCTCTAGTAAGAGCAGGTTCTGGTACCTTTCCCTGAGTATTTCACCTGGGCTTTGCTTTTTCACCTGAAACTTCTTCTTTTTGGAACTATCTGGCAACTGATGTCTCTACTTGGCCATCTTGCCCCCTTCCCTCACATACCTTCTAAAGCAGATGAGCACCTCTCTGCTATTGCTATCAGCAAATTTTGTTCATGAATGACCTTTACCATCATCAGCTCTGGCCTTTGATGTAGGTGTACCTCTTCTCAGGGAATTCCTTATGGCCGTGGTAAATATTGTATCCTCCAGGACTTCCCACGTGACATAATCACCTGGCAGATTTTCCGGGGTACATATATGTCCACTGCAGCACGCTCACTTCCCTGAGCTCTTTCATTCCTTCTTCTACCATCTGCCATGGAAATTCCAGCATTTCAATCTCACTTATACTTCTTTGTGGGTCATTACTTTTTTCATGCTTTTGGTAGCATCTTAGTATAGTGCTCATGACTACTATAGTTCTTTGCCTGACATCGCTGCTACTTTATTTTATTTAACTTTCTCATGCAGTGTTAGTGGACTCTGACAATGTTCCCTTCCAGAAAGGTGCTTGGCATCATATCCTTTTTATTTCAATGTGAAAGTCACCATTTTCCTTCTTATGAGCTCTTTTCTAAAGTGTTTAAAATGCAGTATTTTCCTGGTGAGGATGGATGGACACTTTTGTTTGGGGAGCAATGACTCAGAGATTGTGGATGTTTTAACTTCCTTACAGTTTCTCACCGATGCACATCCCTGCATTTAGCTGGCAAGGGACTAAGTGTATGAAGTGACTTGGGGCTGACTCCAGCCTTCGTGTCAAAGTGACCCCTAAACAATGTGAAGTTGAGTGAGCTTGTCAATAAGATGAAGGAAAACCTATGGGCTTGTCACTCGAGCTTTTCCACAGTTCCTCAGCCCGAGGTTTACATGAATATGTGGGTTTGGCCAAGTGACCTTATGGGCAGAGAGGCTAGAAGGGCAGAATGAAGCCTCCTATAAACCACACGCATTCTGGGATGTGCTATTTTATGTTTTCTCCAAGCTCACACTCTCTCGCTTTTATGTCTCGCCATCAAGATTGCCATTTTCCTCCTACTATTGCCCATGGACATCATCGACGAGTTTCTACATACAGCATATTCAGAGAAGACGTTATTTATGAATGTGATAAAGGATACATTCTGGTTGGACAGGCAAAACTCTCCTGTAGTTCTTCACTCTGGACACCTTCAGCCCCTCAATGTAAAGGTAAATCCAGCCCCCTTTTCAGCCATGGCTACATGTGTGGAACTGTCACGAGAGCACCGCAAGCAAAGTGTCTTCCCTGCCAGAGGCAGCATGAAAACATCTGAGTTGATTTTATTTATTTTAAATAATCAATATATGCAAACGGTACCCGATGCAAAAAGTGCAAAGAGCACACACAAATGGCGATCTCCTCCACTTCTTTCTCCTAGTCACAAAATTCAACTTCCTTGAGGTAGCCCCTATTCCAGTTTCTTGTATATATTTCCAGAAATATTCTAGAAGCATCACATTTTATATGAGTTTACCTATGAACCTTTATGGCAAAATTTTCATGGAAAACTTGCTCTAGCATGAATGTAGGCTCTCCTGGGCTAATTCCAAAAACTATGAGTGACAAGTGTTTCCACCAGACCCTTGTGCAGGGCCCCACCTGCCAAGACATAGGTGCTGTGTGACAGGGGGCTCCTACTTTGCAGCTTATTATGGGGACATGTGGAATCAAAATTGGGTCTGATGTTTTTTTTGAGACGGAGTCTCACTCTGTTCCCCAGGCTAGAGCTCCATGGCATCGGCCTAGCTCACGGCAACCTCAAACTCCTGGACTCAAGCCATCCTCCTGCCTCAGCCTCCCAAGTAGCTGACACTACAGGCATGTGACAGGGTCTCACTCTTGCTCAGGCTGGTCTCCAACTCCTGAGCTCAAACAATCCGCCCACCTCGACCTCCCAGAGTGCTAGGATTTATTAAAGGCATGAGCCACCTCGCCTGGCCTTGGGTCTGATTTTTATATGGGTACAGACTTGCTATTAACATGTATCATTTTGCTATGAACAATTGCAGGATTCATTTGATACCAGTGTCTCCATTGCACACAGGAGAATAATAGGCAAGAAGGAAATTTTTGTACTTAGAATCTTATAGCAATCAAGACTAGGAGTAAGAATTTCCTAGCTGAGAATTTGGGATCATGTACCTTCTTTTAAAAATATTCCATTGTGTTATTTAAAAATGTTATGACCTTGAGCAAATTTCTTAACCTTTGTGTATCTCAACTTTCCCCTACATAAAATGGGAACAATAGCAGCACTCACTTCACGGGGCTATTGCGAAACTTAAACAAGATAATCACATGAACTGCTTAGCCCAAAGTCTGATAAGTAGTCATGCCCCATATTATTGTGATCAAAATGAAAAAAAAAAAAAAGAATAGTTAGTAGCCCTTAAATACAGTTCATTCTTTTTATACTAGACTGTTATCATGTCTTTCTTCTTAGATTTACGGATTGTTTAAAAATATGTTTCCATTCTAGCTGTGTGCGAGAAACCAGAAATAGCCAATGGAAAGCTGTCCGTGGATAAGCATCAGTATGTTGAACTTGAAGGCGTCACCATCCACTGTGACTCTGGCTATAATATAGTGGGTCCCAAAAATATCACTTGCTCAGAGAACAGAACCTGGGACCCAGCAATGCCCAAGTGCGAGTGGGTAAGTGGCAGAATTCATGAACGGTCTGGGCTGTCGACCCCTAAAACTAGCGCTATCCTTCCAAGCTCTGTCCGGTCAGCAACGGTGGCATCTGACTTGTCAGGATTCATTTCTGAGTGACTTGAGAGAACTCCTTCTGTTGCCGTAAAGCGCTCTGGTGAGTTAGGGGTGGCGAGTTCTCTGGCTCTCACTGGAGATAGGAACAACTGAGCTGTCAGTGGACCATCCCACAGACTCGAGAGTACTGACTCCCAACTTCACTTTTTCTAAACCACATAATATACCGTTGTTCTACTTCTGGAGGGTCACCAACATAGCTTTTGTCTCTTTGGAAGCTTTCTGGGCAGCTGTCACAAAACAGGTCCATGTCCCTCTGGGAAAAACTACCGTGGGACCACAGTGATTATCTAGTTTCCCCTGTCAACCTCCAGTCTGAGGCTGGTCTTGGTCCTGATCCCGTGGTCCTTCCATTGTCACGGGGCACCCTCCCTCGTGGTTTGGAGAGGTCTCTCAACCACACTCACCACCCGCCTCTCTTTTAGGAGGTCGCTGAAGGCTGTGAGCAAGTTCTCGCAGGCAGAAAGCTCATGCGGTGTCTGCCAAGCCTAGAGGATGTGAAAATGGCCCTAGAGGTGTATAAACTGTCTCTGGAGATTGAACTACTGGAACTACAGAGAGACAACGTAAGACTGGCCACGCAGGAGAAAGAACTGTAACTTTCCAAAAAGAGGGAGGAGAAAGGTACCTTGCTGGCTTGCCTCCTATGATCCAATACACATCACTTCATTTGGGCACAGCTACTTTTGCTTTGGCACTGAAACTAATTGTAAGAAATATTTAGAAATGATAATTTGTGAAAGTTTAGTGCTGTAAGAGTGTATGTAGAATTACCGATCATCTTGTGGCTCATGTTTTCGCTTTTTCTGGACACAAAGGGGATGTTATTTTCGATTAAAAATGTACATACCAAAAAAATATAATTTTGACTTCGTGGTCATTTAGGGCTCTGAAACAAGAATACTTGACAAATCCATTACATGAGGTTATACTTTTATTTTATTGTGTGGGCCACCAGTGTGCGTCCCTGGACTGCTTTTGGTCCCCTGGTCCACGTGTGAACATCACTCAGGTCCTCTGGGTTCAGATTAGATGTCAACACACCCAAAGTCCCTGTCCTTTCTCCCCACGGGAGGGGGTCACGCCCTCCCCTAACTCCTGCGCACGTTGCCTCTTTCGCTCCCAGCACAGCTCCGCCGTTGCCTTCCACGGGGGGTTCACATTTGTGTCTGACCTGCTCGTTCCAACCCCAGAGCAGGACCTCGGAGAGACAAGTGAAGGTGGAGCCCACACATCGGCCCCCTGCTCATTGCCAAGTCTTCCACCTGGTTTGGCCGCCATTTTCCTCACTCCTAAATGAAAATGGCTTGAGCAACCGCCCCACACATGAGGAGAAACACTGTATCGATCTCTCTTATATCTCTGGGTACTCTGGAGGCTTCTATTCCTTCAAGTCATCACTTCCTCCAACTCTTGCTTCCCCTGAAGTCTCTTTCTCACATATATTTTGTCTCCTCTGGCTGTCTCCTCTCTCCTGGTACACAGAACTCCCTGGGGAACGTTGGCCTCTTCGGTTGAATCTCCCTGCCCACACTCTGAGGAGGCCATGGCGTATATGTAGCGGGCTTTCACTGAACTTTAGATGAAACAGAGGGGCTTGAACTGTGAGAGAAACTCACTGCTGTGGTTCAAATGTTTGTCGCTTCTAAAATTCACGTTGAAACTTAATCCTAAATGTCACAATGTTGATATGTCACATTGTGGATTTTATTTTTTATTTTTATTTAATTTTTTTTCTATTTTTTTTATTTCAGCATATTATGGGGGTACAAATGTTAAGGTTATGTATATTGCCCATGCCCCCCTTCCCCCTCCCACCCGCCCAACACCTGATAAATGTTATTCCGATATGTCCACTTAAGTGTTGATCCGTTAATACCAATTTGCTGGTGAGTACATGTGGTGCTTGTTTTTCCATTCTTGAGATACATCACTTAGTAGAATGGGTTCCAGCTCTGTCCAGGAAAACGCAAGAGGTGCTAGATCACCATTGCTTCTTAAAGCTGAATAGTACTCCATGGTATACATAACCATTTTATTAATCCATTCATGTATTGATGGGCCCTGGGTTGTCTTCCACACCTTTGCGATTGTGAACTGTGCTGCTATAAACATTCGAGTGTAGGTGTCCCATTTGTAGAGTGTCATTTGATCTTTTGAGTAGATGCCCAGTAGTGGAATTGCTGGATCAAATGGTAGATCTACTTGTATCGCTTTAAGGTATCTCCATATTGCTTTCCACAGAGGCTGAACCAGTTTGCAGTCCCAGCAGCAGTGTAGAGTCTTCCTCTCTCTGTATCCACGCCAACATTTATTGTTGGGGACTTTTGATAAAGGCCATTCTTACTGAGATAAGTGATATCTCATTGCAGTTTTGATTTGCATTTCCCTGATATTAGAGATGTTGAGCATTTTTTCATTGTTTTTGGCCTTTATTCTGTCTTCTTCTGAAAAATTTCTGTTCATGTCCTTTGCCCACTTTTTGATAGGGTTGTTTGATTTTTTTCTTGCTGATTTTCCTGAGTTCTAAATAAATTCTAGTTATCAGCCCTTTATCCGATGTGTAGCTTGCGAAAATTTTTGCCAATTTTGTGGGTTGTCTGTTTGCTCTCTTGACAGTTTATTTGGCTGTGCAGAAGCTTTTTCATTTGATCAGTCCCATTTATTTTATTTTGTTATGCTGTGATTTGCTTTGGATCTTCTCATAAACTTCTCTTGCCTAGGCCAATGTCTAGAAGAGTATTTCCAACATTTTCCTCTAGAATTCTAATAGTTTCACACCTAAGGTTCAAATCTGTTTTCCAGCGTGAGTAGAATTTTGTGAGAGGTGAAAGGTGTGGGTCTTGTTTCAGTCTTCTGCATGTGGCTATCCAGTTTCCCCAGCACCATTTATTGAATAAGGATTCTTTTCCCCAGTCTATGTTTTTGTCTGCTTTGTCAAAGATTAGTTGGCTATATGAGAACGGTTCTCTATTCTGTTCCACTGGTTAATGTCCCTGTTCTTGTGCCAATTCTAAGCTGTTTTAATTACTATAGCCTTGTAGTATAGTTTGAAATCTGATAAATTGATACCTCCTATTTTGTTTTTATTGCCTAGGATTGATTTTGCTATACAGGGTCTTCTCTGGTTCCACACGAAGCGTGAAATTATTTTTTCTATATCTGTGAAAAATGATGATGGTATTTTAATAGGGAATGCATTGGTTCTGTAGGTCACTTTGGGTAGTGTAGACATTTTAACAATGTTGATTCTACCCACATTGTGGATTTCAGAAGTGATTGGATGGATCATAAGCAATCTGCCCTCATGAATGGATTAATCCATTCATAGATGAATGGATTATGAGTTAATGGATTAATATGTGTTATCATGGAAGTGGGACTGGTGGCTTTATAAAAGAGGAAGAGAGCCATCCAGCCTGAGCAAGAGCGAGACCCTGTCTTTACTAAAAATAGAAAGAAATTAGCTGGGCAACTAAAAATATATAGAAACAATTAGCCGGGCATGGTGGCACATGGCCTGTAGTCCCAGCTATTCGGGAGCTGAGGCAGAGGGATTGCTTGAGCCCAGGAGTCTGAGGTTGCTGTGAGCTAGGCTGATGCCACGGCACTCTAGCCTGGACAACAGAGTGAGACTCTGTCTCCAAAAAAAAAATATCCACATGCCGGGTGCTGTGATCAGCACCCATGCTCTTTGTCTCCAATTGACCCCAGGTGGTCCAGCCCTCCTGGCATTCCCAGCACTCCCCATGGGACAGGACTGGAGTGGGCTTCCCCTGAAAATTTCCAGACCAGTGGGGAAGGCAAACATCTACTTCCAATTCCCACATCCCACCTTGAAAACTGTGGGTCCAGGGAAGTTCTCCATGAGTGGGGTTATGCCAATCTAAGGGACGGGGTGGAATAGTCTAAATTAACTCTTCCTCTTACAAATTGTGGGTTTTCTTGTTTCTGTGTGTCCGGTGGGTTACTCCACATCTCCCCTGAGTTCTGGTGAATTCAGGGTGGTAGTCTTATCTTTGAATGTTGCCAGTTGTACTTTTGTGGGGAGGGGTGGTGCTGAGGGTCGTCTTCTATTCCACCATCTTGCTGAGGTCACTGTGTTGTTAGCTGATGTTTCAAATGCATTATGTACATGAAAAACATTTGTGGATGATCTTAGCTATGTTTAAGAATGTTTTACTGATATGGAGAAACTAGCTTGGATATTGGGATTGACTGGAAAAGAATAATTATTTTTTCACTTTCAAAATTAATTTTATATATAAATATCATCATTTTATAAATGAATTAATTTCATAAATAAAAATAAAGTTTCCACTCTCTGAAATGTTGCCTTCCACACCATCCTACTAGAGGAGTAGATAGCTAGGTATGCTTATTTTTCATATTAATAATGTGCTCAGATAAAGAGTTATTCACCCCAAGCCTTAGTCTTTAAGAGAACAAAAGAAACAGTTGAAGTTTTTACCTGCTAATTCTTTATGTTTCCTTCTTTACCATTCCTTCTGACTATAAAGGAGCTGCACAGACTTATTTTCACACTGATTTAAATTATTTCTTCATTCTTTAGTTCATTCTTTTATTTAAATGCCTTTAAAAATTGCCTAAAATAAATATATGTATATGTAAACAAATATTAAAACAATAAAGGTAGGTATAAATAGCTCACCTCCATTCCATTATCCATTTTCTCTTTCTACTTTAAATTTAAATTTCATATTTAAAATTTTAACTTTCGTTCATAATTCTATAAATTATAAACCATGTTACCAATACATGTATTTCTTGACCTATCAACTTCATTAATCTTTAAAATTAATTTAAAGTATATTCATGTTTAACAAATTAGTGTAGTTTCTGTACCCACACAATTCTTTTTCCTTCCTCCTAGAGAACCACTGTCATCTCTTGCAACATTTTTTTTCTGGTATTTATCCTCATATTCTTAGATAATATATTTTTAAAATTTTTCTCTTAAATTATCTATTTTAGATGTTATCTATTCATAACAGAAAAAGATTTAATCATCTTTTCATTACTTTTCATTCATTGCTTTTCTTCTTTCTCGTGTACTTATTGCACAATTTTGGTTAAATCAATAATAACTTTTGCATTTTATGACTGCGCACTAAACCAAGTAGTGTTCTGTTAGCATGTTTCCTTTCTTTTGTTTTATCCTGGTGTCTATAATGTCCCTTTTTTAGTAATGTTTTTTTTTCTTTATTTTTTATTTTTTTTAAATTTTAATAACTATTTTTTATTTCCTTTTATATTCTCTAAAGGCCTTTAATTCAAAGCTTTTTTAGTAATGTTGTTTGCTTTCTTAATTGCCTGCTTTGTTTTCTGTATTTGTATTTCCATTTCCTCCTAAATGCTCCAAGAGATTTTTTTCAGTTTATTAAATGTGTTCCAGCATTCAGAGACATCAGATGCTTCATCGACTCCCTTCTTGTTCTATGGACCTTTCTCGCACAGCCCTCGATTCTCCCACTTGGTCTTAGTGTGGGTGCCTCCAGAAACAGACCCTGAAACAGGAATTAAAATGTAAGCACTCTGTTTAGGAGCTTCAGGGAACACCAAAAGAGAAGTAAGGCAGCGAGATATGGAAGGAAAGGCAGCCACAAAAGGATATGTTATCAGGCCTGTTAGGATGACCAAAGCCCAATCCCAAGGTAAACTGGTAAAGCTGTTGAACTCACACCTTAGAGTAATCACACATGGATAAAGAGCTGGGCTATTTCTATAATAACTTCCATCAGTTGTTAATTGAGGACTGCTCTTACGAGGTGTTAATTACCTCCCCTTTGTCCTAAGTGCAAATCAGAGTAGGATTTAAATTGTTCCGGAAAAAAGTCTG